TAGGTTTAGGTAACAGGGCAATGCTGGCCTCCTACAATGAGTTTGGAAGGGTTCTCTCTATTTCAAGTCTATAGAATAATCCGAGAAGAAATTGTTTTATTCTTTTAAATTTTTGTAAAATGCAGCATTAAAACCACCCAGTCCTAAGCTTTTCTTCATTGGGAGACTTTTAATTACTGATTTAATCTCCTTACTGTTGTCAGTCTGTTTGGACTTTTTATATCTCTTTATTCAATTTTGGTGGGTCATAGATGTCCAGAAATTTGTCCATTCTCCTTATGAAGGGATGTTGTCCATTTTCAACTTGTTAGCATATAGTTTTTTAAAAAATAATCCCTAAAAAATAATTTATATTTTTATGGTATCAGTTTTAATGTTTCCTTTTTCATCTCTAATTTTTTAAATTTGTTTTCATTATTACTTTATTTTTATTGGCTAGTCTAAAGATTTGTCAATTATGATTTTTCTAAGAACCAACTTTTTGTTCCATTGATCCTTTGTATTTTTTGTCTCTATTTTTTTTTTTATTTCTATGCTGATCTTTATTATTTCTTTACTTCTAATTTTAGGTTGGTTTGTTGATTTTCTTCTAGATATTTTGAATATTTTTTACTTTTTTTTATCATCTTTTTGGTTTGATGGTTTATTGTATCGATAATGTTTAGTTCTTTTTCTCTTTTGTGTATCCACTCTTCAAGTGGGAGTTACACTTTCACATGCTATTATAGTGGGTAGTTATCCTTCTTAAATTTCTGGATGTAGGACTACCTTAAGCATTTTTTTTTTTTTGGAGACTGGTTCTGATGGTTGTGAATTCCTTGCTTTTGCTTATTTTAGAAGATCTTTATTTCTTCTTCATTTGTGAAGGATAGCCTTGCTGGGTATAGTAATCAGGTCAGTTGTAATTTTCTTAGGAGGAGGAGTTGGAATATATCGTTCCATTCCATTCCTTCTGCCAAGAAATCTGCTGTTAGACTAATTGGACTGCCATTAAATATGATTTGGTGATTTTAAAATTCTTTCTTTATCCTGTACCTTGTTTTTTTCTTTTTTCTTTCTTTCTTTTTTTTTTTTTGTAGGAATCGAACCTAAGGACACTTACCACTGAGCCACATTCAATCCTTTTTTTTTAGACAAGGACTTCCTAAGTTGCTGAGGCTTACCTCAAACTTGTGATCCTCCTGCCTCAAACTCTGGAGTCCCTGGAATTACAGGCATTCACAACAATGCCCAGCTGTTCTGTAGTTTTGATAATTTGAGTTTACTATGCCATGGTGAAGATATTTTGTGGTCTTGTTTTTTGTTTGTTTTAAGATGGAATCTTATAAGCATAAACCACTACTTCTGGCTTATGTGAGGAACTATTAGCTCCCTGTATGTGGATGTTTATGTTTTTCCAAGATTAGGAAAGTTCTGTGCTATAATTCCATTGAAAATATTTTCTATGTCCTTAACTTTTATATCCTCATGTATGGGTATTACAAAGATGCAGTTGTTTTTTCATTTAATGGTTTCCCAGAGTTCTTGAATATTTTCCTTTTCCTTCTCCTCAACCCTTTCCTCTGTGTCTGATTGGGATATTTCAGTTGACTGAGACATTTCAAAAGACCTGTCTTCAAATTCAGACATTCTTTCTTCTACTTTATCAAGTGTCATTGCAGCTTTCAACTAAATATTAATTATTTGACTTATTGAGCTGTTCATTTCAAAGATTTACTTAGTTAGTTTTCAAAATCTCTCTCTTTACTGAATTTCTCATTCATATCCTGCATTATCTTTCTAGTTTCATTTAGGGTTTATTAGTATTCTCTTGGACCTCAAGATTTTTTATAATTCTTTTTCATTCTTTATCAGTTGTTCCATCCATTTTGATTTCTTTGGAATCTGTTTCTAAGAGTTCTGATACTTTGGAAGTATTATATTACTTTGTTTTCTAAAATATTTCTTGTATTTCTATGTTTATATTTATTTGCATATCTGGTATTGAACCCAGGGGAGCCACATCCCCAGCCCTATTTTGTATTTTATTTAGAGATAAGGTACCTCTGAGTTATTAAGTGACTTGCTAAGTTGCTGAGGCTGGCTTTGAACTCATGATTCTGCTGCCTCAGCCTCCTGAGCTGCTGGGATTACAAGTGTGTGCACCCAGCACTGGCTTTGTTAATAAATGTTTTGAACATGAATGGATGCTATATTTGAAGAAAAAACAAATGATCATATTAATTGGTGCATTAAAATCATTTGTCCATATTCAATACCCATTGACAATAAAAGCTCTCGGAAAAACAAGATGATAAATTTCTCAACTTGATAAAGAAGATCTATGTAGATCTAAAAATACAATGACATGGAACCACCATTTGACCCAGTTAGCCCACTCCTCAGTTTATACTTAAAGTGCTCAAAATCAGCACACTATAATGATGCAGCCACATCAATGTTTATAGCAGCTCAACTCACAATAGCCAAACTATGGAACCAACCTAGATGCCCTTCAAGAGATGAATGTATAAAGAAAATGTCTGGAAAATATGTACACAATGGAATATTACTGACCGTTAAGGAAAAATGAAATTATGATATTTGCACATAAATGGATGGAGCTGGAGAAAATCATGCTAAGTAAAATAAGCCAATCCCCAAAAACCAAAGGCTGAATGTTTTCTCAGATATGCGGATGCTAATTCACAATAAGATAGGAAGGGCTAGGGAAGAATAGGGTTACTTGGATTAGGTAGAGGGGAGTGAAGGAGGCATCTAGAAGTAGGAAGGAGAGTTAAATGAATCAGACATTATTACATTATAGTACATATGACTACACAACTGGTATGATTCTACATAATGTGCAACCAAAAGAATTAGAAATTATACTCCACTTATGTATAACGTATCAAAGTGTATTATACCATAATGTCTAATTAGAGCAAATAATAAATATATAAGGTTAAAAAAATGGCCAGAGAGAGATAAAAGGAATTTTAAAAGACAATTAATAAAACTCTTGAAAAAAAAATTTACTAATTGTACTAAGTGCTTTTAGTTGTTATATCCTTTAGTCCTAGAAATAATTTATCTAAAACATTCAGTGTAATATATTTATTTTTATTGATTTTTTAAAAATAAATGACAATGGAATGCATTACAATTCATATTACACATGTAGAGCACAATTTTTCATACCTCTGGTTGTATATAAAGTATGTTCACACCAATTTGTGTCTTCTTACATGTACTTTGGATAACATTCCACCATCATTGTTAACCACCTTCCCCTCCCACCCCTCTGCCCTATCTAGAGTTTGTCTATTCCTTCCCTGCTCCCCCTCCCTACCCCACTATGAGTCAGTCACCTTATATCAGAGAAAACATTCAGCATTTGTTTTTTGGGGATTAGCTACCTTACTTAGCATTATGTTCTCCAACTCCATCCATTTACCTGCAAATGCTGTGATTTTATTCTCTTTTATTGCTGAGTAATATTCCATTGTATATATATGCCACATTTTTTTCATCCATTCATCTAGTGTAGGGCATCTAGGTTGGTTCCACAGTTTAGTTATTGTGAATTATGCTGCTATAAATATTGATGTGGCTGTGTCCCTGTTTTTAAGTCCTTTGAGTATAGACTGAGGAGAGGGATAGTGGGTCAAATGGTGGTTCCATTCCCAGTTTTCCAAGGAATCTCCATACTGCTTTGCATAGAAACTCATGATAGGGCTCCATAAAGGTGGAAGCAGTGGTCACAATTATTATTATTGTTGTTATTATTATTATGAATCATGCATATTCACATTTTGAAGTGAGTGATCATGGTAGAACACAGGAAAACAGCAATGAGAGCCTGCAACCTTATAAGATTCATAGACCTGGGACAACAGATAGTAAGAGAAACAAAATATCCTTGGCATCTGCCACACTGGCTTCAAAGCTGGAGGAGGGGATGTTACAGTATTAATTTTAGAAGAAAGGAAACTGTCTGGGGTGAGAAGGGGTGGGACTTACATTTATTAAGAGCCTATGCTATGCTATATTTTCACATGTCTTAGTATGAACTTAAAATAACTCTGGGAAGCAATTTCGGTATCTCAACTTACAGATGAGAATGCCAGAATTTTCTCTTTCATCTTAAATTTGTATTTTTTTCTTTCTATACTCTTCTTGTTTTTGTTATTTTCCTTATTTCATTCTTTCCTTTGTCCATTAATTTACTTATTAACTCCTTCATCTCAAAGAGCCAGAAAATAATTTATTCATTTTACAGAAATAAATATAATTTTAAAAAATCTGCTGTGTTGACTTCAGGTTACTTATCTAAACGGACTACAAACCTGTAAGGATTTTGGAACTTTGGAGTAGCTAGGATTGTCAGCATCCACATTGAAAGTTTGTTAAGACTCTCTTTCACCTTTACCCCTGCAAAGGGGATATATGCCCTCCCCCAGCTTTGAAGTCAGTGTGGCAGATGCCAAGGATATTTTGTTTCTCTTACTATCTGTTGTCCCAGGTCTATGAATCTTATAGGATTGCAGTCTCTCTTTCGCTGTTTTCCTGTGTTCTACCACGATCACTCACTTCAGAATGTGGCTGTACACCTTCTACTTTGATTCTTCTTTGTGAAGGAGGAAGTGAGTGCTCAGCACTTCCATCTAGCCATCTTGAAATCCTAAGTAATATATTTTAGAGCTTGCTTTGCTTCCTAGTTTCTATATTTTGTGCTTGTTTTTAGAGTACAATCTAAGCAGAAGAACTCTAGTTGAGAGCTCTTGTGAAGTTCAGTGGAGTTGTGCTCTCGTTTTAATTGCTTTTAAAAATACTATAATTGTTCCAGTGTTATGCTAGAGTGTGTATGTTTGGGCCTTAGCATTAAGGTAGCAGACATCTGAAGTGGGGATTGGAACAGAAAGAAAATGACTCTGAACTCAAGAGGACACTAACAGTCATGTCCCTCTGTCCTTGTGTATTTATTTATTTATTTATTTATTTATTTATTTATTTAATAGACTTCTGACAAGAAAGACTCTGAAGCTGAAAAAGGTGAACTGGAGATGAGATTATTAAGTGAATCGATTTCAGCAGGTATTCTAAATTACATTTTCATAATTTGACTTTATTGAGATTTTCTTCTTACAAAAGTAATACAAGGTCATTTCAGACATTTCAGACATTGTAGAAATATATTAAAGTAAAAATTTTTCTTAGTTTCTTCCCTGAGAAAATCAGTATTAATAGATTTATTTACTGTCTCTTTGGATTTTAATAAGATCATAGAATCCTATCATACAAATATTTTAGTTGAAAATTATTTTTTCCACTTAACATTATGTGATATACATAGAACACAATATACATTGTAAATAAATAATTAACATTGTTTTAAGTAAGAACATATGATAATTTCACTTTTTTATAGTAGCTGTATAATTCCAACCAAATAATAGAACATTATTCAAATCCCTATTGATAGCATTAAAGTTATTTCTACTTTTTATTTATACACAGTGATGCAGTGAGTTTTCACAAGCACACATACACATCAGGAATTTCTCTACACTTTTGAGGGACTATAAGTTTTTGTATTTAATCTTGTCCTGTCAACTAGCAATTGGATATGTGAAAATGATCTTTTTTTAAAAACAATAGTTATTTTTTTATTACTGGGGTTTGAACCCAGAGACATTCTATCACAGAGCACATCTCCAGCCCTTTTTATTTGTTATTTTTGAGATAGAGTCTTGCTAAGTTGCTTAGGGGGTCATTAAATTGCTGAGGCTGGCTTTGAATTTGTAATCCTCCTGCCTCAGCCTCTCAAGTCACTGGGATTACAGGCATGAACCCAGCTAATTTGTCAATATTTCAGTTTGATATTTTTAAAATATTTTGTTAGCTATAGTTGGACACAATACTTGTATTTTATTTTATTTTTTTATGTGGGTGCTGAGGATCGAACCCAGCACCTCACACATGCTAGGTGAGCATTCTACCACTGAGTTACAACCCCCAATCCCTCAGTTTGATATTTATAGCTATCTTTTCCATGACTTGTATCAGTATTCTTCTTCCCTGATAACCTTTAAAGAACCTATTTTCTATATATTTCTAAGCATGTTTTTCATGATGAGCCTCTTGTCTACTTTTTTACTTTTTCTAACACACCTTTGGTTTAACAATCACCTGGGCTTATATATTTATATTTTCTATAACCCTAACTGGGTAATTCTACTAGAAATAGGATATTACAGTCAGTTATTAAACTTCTGTCAATAATACTATGGCTTTATATGTAGTGATTCCCAAATAATATATATCATAATGATCTAAATGTAACCACAGGAATATTTCTTGCTTTCCTTTTAGGTGAATAAATTTTTAATTGAATACATTTAAAAATTGAAGACTGCAATGTATTCAATGAATGTACACAGGAAAAAAATTTTAGTTCAAAATTTCTTTGGTTATTTCCATTAATTTTCAGTACATGCTTTCCACAGATTAAATTTACTGCCATCCTAGTGTGCTTTCTTTTATGGGAAAGTAAAACTGCAATAATAAATAATACTAGCAGTTCCTGCACTTTCTCTATGTGTCTAGCACCAACTCTTTATGTATATTAACTCATTTTTCTGCCAAATTCTATTAGCTGCTACTATTATATCCATTTTATAGTTGAAAAAACTCACATAAGATGTTACTTAGCATGTCTTGAATAAGGTCACATAGCTAATTAAATGTGAAATCTTTAAGTGGTCTGACTTTTCTTCTAGAAGCATTTTGGTGAAGGGTGGGAATAGTCCCTGTGATATGTAACTTCCAATATTGCCTCTGATTGTGTACTGGATAAGGGAAATAATAGAATTTCCCATAGAATTTTGGAAAAATAGATATTATACAATCTGGTTTCTTCATTTTTCAAACCTCCATCCCTATTTATCTATGAGCTGGGCCTCTTTTTATTGAAAAAAATTCACTTTTATTTCATACATGGACCAAAATTTACTTTTTTATCATTTACCTTTTTTTTCTTTTGGAGTTTTAGCCCCATTATTTTTAATTTTAAGAAATTAGTTTGGACCCTATTAAAAAGTGAAACACTTCATGAAAGGGCTTTGTTTTTCATTTTTCTCCATAGCAGTTTTACAAATAATAGATATTTTACTCATTTATCTCTCCCCTAGGAAAGCTAATATGAAGATCATAGTTTTTTGCTTATTTAGTTTTGTGCTGTAACCCCAGCCAGTGGCTAGCAGCAAGAAGTAACTCAATAAGTACTTGTTCAACATTAAAAAAATAGTTTGATAATTATCAAATTTTGTGTCAAACCATTTTTATCTTTTATATAAGATTTTTAAAAATAATAACACATGGTTATCATATGCATATTCCTAAAATGTTGGTATGAAAATATAAATACAAATATAAATGGAGCCTGCACCTGAGCATCACACATGTGTATTCCCATCTCCATGATTAGCTCTGTGAATAGTTCTGAGTTATGCACTTTTTGCAAAGTCTTAGTAGCTACTTACATAAAAACTTCCTTCATCGATATTAGAATTTTTTCTTTTCACTCCTAAGAAAATACAAAAATATTGTGACCTATTTAGAAATGGTATCAATCTGTTTACCTCTAGCACAGTTATACCTGATAGAGAATACTACTGAAAAGCCATTTATCTATGAAGACAATGAGGTGGATTTATGCCAATTCACAACTCTAGGTGGAGTGTACCACTTGGATATTTTGGAGCTTCCCCCACAGTATAAGCCAGTGAAGGGCTGGATGATTGTGCAAGTAAGTAAATTCTTTAATATAAATATAAGTAAAATAGTTGCTTATGCCTTTACTTCATATTGAATGATCTGAACATCTAATAAACTGTGAACACTATTAATCACAAAGAACAAATACTAAAGGACATTAACAGATTCTAAAACAACATGATTTTTTAAATTAGAATTCACATGTTAACTTAATTGTAAAAACCTATATCACTCATGTTTGAAAGTACTGAATTGGCCTTAATAATGATATTAAGACCAGAGGTTGGGAGACTTTTTCTGTGAAAGACCAGATGGTAAATATATTCAGCTTTGTGGGCCACACTAGCTCTGTTGAAAGCACTCAACACTGCTTTTATAGTGCTAAAATGACTGTGTGTAAACAAATGCACATGTTTGTGTTCTACTTCAATTTTATTTACAAAAAGCAGTGGCGGGAGGGATTTCTCAGGGGCCACAGTTTGTAGACTCATCTAGATCTGTGATTGAACAGAAACATGAGAAACCACTGACATCATCTGGGAATTTGCTAGAAATATGAATTCATGAACCTCAAAGTTACTGAATCAGAAACCCCAATGGTGAGGCTCAGCAATCTGTGTTTTAACAAAACACACCCTGAAGTTTGAGAATCACTGGTATGAATCTTAATTATATAAAATGTGATCCAGTAGCACTGAACCAGCTGTGGTGGCATCACAAGGGGATATCTAAGAAATGCATATTTTGAGTGATCTCAGATCTATTGAATCTTCATTTTGACAAGAGGGATTTGAGAGATGATTCATATGCACATAAACATTTGAGAAGCACTGATTCAGGTGACACTGGTGCTGCCATTCACAGAATATGCTTGGAGTGATAAGAATACTGATGACAGAAGTTGTTATATCATCTTTCAAGGAGTTTCATACTCCTGTTTTATAAGTAATAACATTTTCACTGGTATTGACTTGGTTTCTTTTAACCTTATGGTGACTGCATCCAGAGCATACTGCCATATATTCCAAGTTATGCTGTCAGAGTCCACTCCTATTTTTCTTCTCTCCCTCCTTTCCCTTCTCTTTCTCCCTCTTTCTAGTAACTCAGTATATACACAGACTACCAGTTACTTCTCACACACAATCCCATCCATTAAGGACTTTGGTGCATTGTTTAAATAAGTATTTCTCAGTGGGTCGGTTTTTTTTTTTTTTTTTTTTTTTTGTAGTTTGGAGCCTTTGTAGAAGGCACTTTTTTTTCCTTGTCACCCCCCAACAAAATTTTAAAACCAATTTTGATATTGCCATTCTTTCCCCTTTCTCCCCACAAATAAGAGTTCATTTAATAGAGCAAGCCTGGGAGAGATCATCTGGTATGTAATTTCTTCAAAGGATGTATTTGAATCTTCTTTCCATACTTGAGGAACCACCCAAAAAGCAGGGTAGTTAAAGGGAGGCCTTCAAAGCTATTTATCCATCAAAAATTTTATGTGCTTGAATTTTATGAGAATGTCCTCATCCACCTTCACTTCCTGCTCTGGTTGGAACCCAAAATATCCTCCTTCACACTCATTTTTCTTTCTCTTGCAACAAAGAGGACTTCCTCCTTTTTTCCCAAGATTTTTTTTCAACAACTTCTTACTTTCTCTAGAATCATGCCTCAACCACTGTTTCTCTGTTTTATGATATTTTAAATTTTCCCGTTTCCTAGATGCTTCTCTGCTACATTCTTAAAATACACAAATCTCCCTTATCCTAGAAAAATCTGCTGTTGGCTTTACTTTCACCCTCTCGTTTCTATACTTCTTGAAAGGTTATCTACACTTCTTTTTACCTATGTGTCCTTCCTGAGGTTTTAGTGTGTAATTTGGAGTCCTGTAGATCTGGTACTTCCTTGCAGTCATCTCATAAACTTTGGCAAATGGCTTGATTTCTCTAAATCTTAATTACCTTCTCTGTTAAATATTGGCATTGTAGGATTTCTCTGAGGAATAAAATGTTGGAGAAGCTCTAGAACCTGGCCCATAGGAAGTTCTGTTAATTATAGTGATTTTTTTTCCCTCAATCATTTATCTTTCAATTTTGTTGTGACATTTACTAGTCAGGCTACAGCTAAATGGGACCAAACTTCAGTGCTTATTAAACCATATATTTTACTTAGTAATAGTTACATCTTTAACTGTTACTAGTCACTTTCTAACATGGTGGTGTTTTGGTCATTTTTAAAAGATACTCCAAGAAGGATTACAGAAATTCACATATCCTCCAGAAACCATGGAAGACTTTGATACAGAAAATGCTTTTCCGCCTATAGAGGTCACGCTCAAGGTTCATGAGAATGTGATCTTTTTCGAGGATCCTAAGGTTGTAAGGTGGGATGCTGAAGGTACAACAATGCCTTAGCCAGCTTCTTTTTTCCACATTTTTATTGGTGCATTATAATTGTACATGTTGATGGAATTTGTTGTTACGTATCCATACATGCACATGACATAACAATATAATTTGGCTAATATCATTCCCCAGCACTTGCGCGCCCCCTCCCTGCTTCCCACTCCTTGGCCCATTTCCTCTATTGATCTCCCTTTGATTTTAGGAGATTGACCCCCAGCTTTCTTTTCCTTTTTTCTCTCTAACTTCCATATATGCAAGAAAACATATGACCCTTAACTCTCTGAGCCTGACTTATTTCACCTAACGTGATAGTCTCTGGTTCCATCCATTTCTGCAAATGACATAATTTCATTTTTCTTTCTGAAGAAATAAGACTTCATTGTACATATATACCACATTTTCTTTATCCATTCACCCATTGATGGATACCTAGGCTGGTTCCATAGTTTGTCTATTGTGAATTGTGCTGCTAGGAACATGGGTATGCAGGTATCACTGTAAATAAGATGACTTTAATTCTTTAGGATAAATTACAAGGAGTGGTATAGCTGGGTCATGTGGTGATTCCATACCTAGTCTTTTGAAGAACCTCCACACTGATTTCCATAGAAAATGTACCAATTTATAATCCCACCAACAGTGTAAAAGTGCTCCTTTTTCTCTACATCCCCTCCAGCCTTTATTTTTGTTTGTATTCTTGATGAGTGCCATTCTGACTGATGTGAGATGAAGTCTCAGTGGAGTTGATTTGCATTTCCCTAATTGCTAATGATGTCAAACATTTTTTCATATATTTGTTAGCCATTTATATTTATTCTTTTGAGAAGTGTCTATTTAATTCTTTTGCCTATTTATTAATTGGGTTGTTTAATTTTTTGGTGTAAAGATTTTTTTGAGCTCTCTCTGTTTTCAAGATATTAATCCTCTGACAGAATAATAACTAATAAAGATGTTCTCCCATTCTGTGGGTTCTCTCTTCATATTCCTAATTGTTTCTTTTGCTGTGCAGAAGCTTTTTAATTTGATGCTGTCCCATTTATTAATTTTCGGTATTATTTCCTTAACTCTCAGGGTCCTACTGAGAAAGTTGTTGCCTGTGCTGAAAACTCCTCTGTGTTTTATTTAGGAGTTGCATAGTTTCTAATTCCTAGGTCTTTGATCTATTTTGAATTGATTTTTGTACAGAGTGAGAGGTAAGGGTCTAATTTCATTCTTCTACGTATGGATAACCAGTTGTCTCCTCACCATTTGTTAAAAAGGCTGTCTTTTCTCCCATGTATGTTTTTGGTATCTTTGTTAAGGATCAGATGACTGTATCTGAGTGTGTTTCTCTCTGTCTTCTATTCTGTACCATTGGTCTGTGTGTTTTTATGCAAGTACCATGCAGTTTTTGTTACTATATCTCTGTAGTATAATTTGAAGTCAGGTATTGTGATGTCTCCAGCAATGCTTTTTGGCTTAAAATTGCTTTGCTTAGCTAGCCTTTGTAAGTATGTAATAAAAAGAGGGACAATAATATAAATCCTCAAATTGAACAGAAAACATAGTCTATAAACTGATTTTCTCTCTTCATAATGTCAGGTATAGGGTCTTTGTTGTTTGGTCTTGATACAAATGGATAGAGTTGGAATTTTAAAGTTTATTGAATTTTGTTAGTTCCTAAATTGTTAGTTTGACATAATCTATGAATAATTACTTTATGGTTATATCATTATGTTTAAAAATGGATGAAAGTATCTCAAATGCTTCATAAAATAACTTCCACTGTCTCATAAAAAATCAGATTGAGGTGATTAATCTTTTATTTTAATGTTAATCATGTATAAATTGCAAACAAGTATTGGAAAACTGGTTACTGTATACCATTTTACAATTTTTGATTCTTGAACCAAGGCAAATTGTTGCTTACTCACACTATTAAAATACAGAGCTATAAAATCAGATGTACCAACAAAAATAGAAGCTAATGATTAGATAATCATTACCAAATACTTCTTTGGAGGTAAGCTAGCTGAATTTTGGGAAATCTCCATCTGGTAAATTTGTGGGCACAGTATAAAGAACCAAGTTGAAAACTGTGGAGCTTTATTTTTAGGGTTGTTTTATATCCATTTATTTTGAAAGGATTTACATACTTGGGAACAGACAAGATCATTAAGGCAAAGAGTTCTTATTCCATTTTTGTTACAGGGGCAGAGAACTTAATAACTCATACCAAAAGAGGTAAATATTAATATTTTGTGGTTTAAACTTTTCTTATGAATACTCCAGTGCATACATTTCTGCTTGTGTAGACACAGCCACATACATTTATGTTCTAGAAGTTGTTTATTACATGGAAAAGTATATTTCTAACAGACTAAACTACAAAATACATCAAACTGAACAATTATGTAATTTCTTCTTTCTTGTTGCTTTAGAGATGTCACATTCATAGAAATGCTCCTAAAAATTGCATTTAAATTATACACACTAAATTAGAATGACAAGTTATCTAACTCAATTTATGGAAATATGAACTATGTAGAATTTATGTAATGGCACTAATTAGCAACAACTTCCAACCCCTGAAAATTTTAAACTCTGGGGAAACTTTTTGTGCTTCAAAATTTGGAGACTTATAGGCAATAATTTTTATCTTTACAAATTATTTTTGCTAGTGTAGCAGTATTTGTCAGTGTAAATGTATTTATTATTTGATTTTAAGAACAAAAACTAGTCAATAGAAGCTTCCATGTGAGAAGATGAAAGAACCAACTGGAAATGAAGATAACATCTGGGAAGAGAATGGTTTATTCATCCATCCTATAAATATGCTAAACCATAAGATATATGGAGATAAAAGAGAGTAGTTCCTTCCTCTTGAGGTTTTCAGACTTGTAGGAAAGGTGCACAGGGAAAACATTTCCATGCCATGTGGTAGGTGCTAGAATAGACATGAAGTGCCAAGGAACACAACAGGGACCTTGGGGGACTTTCTCATAGGATGGTCATGGAACAGGGCTTTAGACACAAAGAAAATGTGTGCATGGAAGCATTTTCTGTCCTCTTGGGTGTATACCTAAGAGTGGGATTGAGGAGTAATTTTACATGTAGCTTTTTAACAAACTGCCAAACTGTTTTTCAAAGTGCTGTACCATTTTCCATGTCTACTAGCAATGTATGGTTTCATTTCTCCATGTCCTGGCCAACATTTGTTATCTGTCTTCTTTCTGGTAGACATTAAGTAAACTCTCATTGCAGTTTTAATTTGTTTTTCCCTAATGACTAATAGTGTAAAACATGCTTATTAGTCTTACATATATCTTCCTTGGCAAAATGTTTATTCAAATCATTTTCCCATCTTAAACTGGCTTTTACTGAGTTGTAAGAGAAACAGAAGACCACATATTGTATGATTGCATTTATATGAAAAGTCCCAAAGGGTAAATCTTTGGAGACAAGAAGTATATTAATAGCTGCCTGGGACACAAGGGTGGGAATGAATTGTAAATAGACATAGGGATCTTGGCCAGGTGCAGTGGCACATGCCTGTAATCCCAGCAACTCTGGAGGCTGAGGCAGGAGAATTGTGAGTTCAAAGCCAACTTCAGCAATTTAGCAAGGTCCTAAGCAACTCAGCAAGACCCTGTCTCTAAATAAAATATAAAAAAGGGCTGGGGATGTGTGTCAGTGGTTAAGTGCCCCTGGATTTCATCCCCAGTACCAAAAAAAAAAAAAAATAGACATAGGGATCTTAATATGGGGGAGATAAAAATAAAAATGTTCTATAACTGGATTATATAATGGTTACACAACTGGTTAAATTTAATAACAATTTACTAAACTCAGGTGAATTTTAAAGTTGTTTTAAAACAAAGGTGAAGAGAGTTTCTCTAAAATGTTGAGGAGGAGTATTCTAGGAAGAACGAACCACATGTGCAAAGACACAGAAGTAAACATCAGGAGAGAATGAAAAATGGGGCTGAAAACAGGTGTGAGAAATATCAAGGGACAAAGTCAGTGTCAAAGGTCTACTCTGAAGGTCTTAACAGCCCACACTGCAGAGTTTTGACTTGATCCTAGCAGCACAGAAACTCCCAGAAAATTTAGCTTAATTTTGAGCTTCTGTTCTTAAAGTAAAAATCAATTTATACACACTGTGATTATTTATATAGTTTCATTCATCTTATCATAGGAAATTATGATAATTCATCTTATCATGAAATTATCACTTTCTTCCTTCACTATAAAGGTAAACATTGGAGAACTGATGGCATCAGTAATGTATCTTACGATGCAGAAGCAAGACTTATATCATTCAGCCTGGAAACTTTTGGTCCTCTTACCTTGATTCAAGACTCTCATGTTAACATGCCATTCCTGTCATGGGAATTAAAACCACTTGAAATTAATAATGTACTTTTAATTGTGACTACACTATTTACTGAGATTCAGATACAAATTAAGGTGAGTTACTATTATAGCAAGTCTGTGCATATGTCAAAAAATCACCACTGGTTTATATATTGTCTTTTGTGATTACATCCAGACTTTGTTCTGAGTCATTGTTTCTAAATAAGATATTGATTGAATAAACATGCAATGACATGTAAGTAGTGAGGTTCAAATATGTACCCTAAAGTTACTAGGGTTAGATCAATTAATGGACCAACAAGTCTGGTTGTGGTATGACTTGTGGTATCATCCAAACCATATGTAATCCCCTTGGAGTTGGGTCTCCCTCTGAATGAGACTTATTGCTTATCAGTCAGAAATTACACAGCCTGAAATTTATAAAGCCACAAGTGGATTAGTGGCTGCCTGGGGCTGAGAATGAAGATTAATTAAAAATGAGTGTAAGGGATTTTATTAGGTGGGATGAAAATGTTCTAAAACTGATTTATGTGATAGTTTTACTACTAAAAATCATTGGATTCTATACGTGAAATGAGTGGATTTTATGATATGTAAAATATATTTCAATGAAGTTTTTTTAAGATTCTTTAGACTTCCTTATGAGTATTGTAGAAAAATGAAAATATTATCAAGCTTTGCTTTTTAAACAAGATGGGATGAGAGAGCACTCTGGACTGTCAATGCTGTAATGGCCCTTAAAATATTTCTGATACACCATCACATTTTATATGGGGGTAAACTGAGGCCCAACGCATCAGGAGGTTAAGTGACCTTCCTAAGATTGCATAGAGGGTTATAATGGGGGCTTCCTGTCAGGGCTTCCAACCCATTTGGTGCTATTGTGCTTATGCCATCCCATCAGCACTGAAGATTCCTGAGCATACTCTTACTCTAGGATGATGGAAAGTTATGAACACTTTCAGTGTCCATTTTTTAATATGAAGACTGAAATGCCAAGGGTTGTAGAGTGCATTTTCAAGTCAGATTTTAAAGGTACATCTGTACTATATAATGTACTAGTTATTCTACTGAGCTCTTGAAATGTGACTAGTCCAAATTAACATGTGCTATAGTTGTAAAATACATATCAGATTTTGAATACTTAGTATAAAAATGCAAATTGTCTCAATAATTTTATACTGATTATGTATTGAAATATTTTAGACATATTGGGCTAAATAGGATATATTAACCTTTAGAAAAAAACTTTTGAGATGTGAACTCAATACATCTTCAAATTGCCAGTTTGCCAAACCTTAAAACTGGTGGATTTATATCATTAACTTTCACGTTAAATAATTAAGATTAATCTCTAAAATTACAGTCATGGTTTCATAGTTTTTTGCTTTTTTGTTTGTTTGTTTTTGGTACTGGGGTTTGAGCTTGGGGGCTGTCAACCACTGAGCCACATCCCCAGCCCTATTTTGTGTTTCATTTAGAAACATGTTCTCACTGAGTTGCTTAGTGCCTCGGTGTTCCTTAGGCTGGCTTTGAACTCACAATCCTCCTGTCTCAGCTTCCTGAGCAGCTGGGATTATAGGCATGCACCTACCTGGCTTTTGTAGCTGTTTTAATTTCAATGTGAACATACTTTATATTTTCATATAATAACATAAAATAGGAGAGGATTTGAGGATCTGTAGTCCAATTGATTATTCAAATGAAGCCTATAGAGAGTAAATTGATTTAAGGTAACATGAGGACTTTGTGGTACCATTTCAGATTAGATCTAAAACATACCTGCCCTGCACTCTTTTTAATATACTGGTAGGTTTTTAAAAAATCTATAGAATGAACATAAGGACTGGACCCGGAATGGTACTGGAGTAATTTCTTTCACTTTCTATCAAAGTTTTTCTTTTTCTTATTTTAACTCAGGAAAACCTCTGCATGTTAATTTCAATCAAAATAAAAGACAAAGAACATGTTTCTAATTTGGAAGGAAAATGGATGAGTCCTATATCTTTCATTTTTGCTCTGAAAGAAGCTGGATTGAATATCTTCCCATCGGGACACTCTCATTTTTATGTTGTTACAAACAATAAGGTATGAAGGAATCTTTCCAAATTTAATGTAGCATACATTTAGAATGTTGGCAAATATTTAATTTAATATAAGTCCTAAGGTGCAATGTGAGTTTTATAGATTCAGCTACACAAGATTAAATTTAGAAAGGAAGAATAAGTGAAGAAATGAGACGTCCAGAGTCTTTTCAAGTATGTAATAATCTCCCCCAAGAATTAAATCTATAGCATGATCTTCATATTGGCAATTATAGCACATCATGGCCTGTCAGTTTACTGCAAAAATTGTCCAGGCTACTTCTCATTTCGCATATTTTCTTTCCTTTTCCATGACTATTAAGATTTCTTAAGAGAGTAACTCTGCACTGTCTCAAACACAAAATTAAACATATAAAAAGCCCTTTAATATACTAAGCCACTTTCCTTGGTTTCTTGGAAGAGCCTCCATTTCTATGTGCTCCTTTCTGTTACTCATAGGGTTTAAATAAGATCCCTCCACACTAACCTGGGACAGCCACGAGGACAGCAGCTGGTTTTTTTTTTTTTTTTTTTAATAATTTTGGTTCTTCTAGCACCTAGCATATTCCTAGAATAAAATGCTTAGTAAACAGTTGTGATATATGAAGACACAAGTGCTTCTAATAAATTGTCTTTGTAATAAATGTCTTTGTAGGCAGAAGAGTTACATGCTTCAGAATGTGTTTATGAATACCCTAGAAAATAGTAAACAAAATATGTAGCCATTTATATAACATTTGGCAATACTCATCTAGCAAAAGGTATCTAACTGTAGGCATAGAAAAAAATGTTAACTCAAATTACCTGTAGTAACTACTATGACAAATGTGGTATCCTATTTGTTTTCAGAATAGTCAATTTTTTTTCCTGAACACTTATATGGTAGGGGCATTGATTTAAATATTAAGAAAAATGAGTAAACCAAAGCCCCCTGCCCCTTTAAAGCTTATATTCTTTAGAGGGAAAGAAAAATAGGATGGTCATGTAAATTAAAAAGGTGTAAAGTGTTATGTAAAAAGGAAAAAAAATAAACAGATCAGGAATAGTAGGGTTGGGCAGTACAGTATCAAGGAAGGTGCTGGGAAGGAAGACTCAGGAGGTCAGACATGAGTAAAGCTTGACGGTGTGGAATTTAGCTAAAAATGGATCTGGGGAAACAGCTTCCAGGCAGAGAGAACAGCTGGAGCAATAACTCTGAAGGAATAGCCAGGACTGGACCAGGGGCAAGAAGCCTGGAACTGAGAGAGAAAAGGAAGAGGAGGAGATAAGGCCAGATGGCTGATGGGGGGGGGGGGGAGGTAATATGTAGTGGTAGAGGCAGATCACAGAGGACCTGTGTAGACATCAACAACTTTGGATTCTACTCAGAAAGTGAAGAAATCCATTGTTAAATTTTAATAGAGAAGTCATATAATCTGACTTAAATTTTTAAATGAATCCTTATGTGTTAAGGATGGAAGGGAGATTTGTTGGGAGGCTCCAAGGTCAGTTCTGTTTGTATTTACAGAATCCATCAGTAGAAATGAGAGCTTATCGACAAATGGCCCTGCTAAGTTCTGCTTTTGCATTTGGTTGGAGCAAGTGGAATATAGTATGTAATACTACAAAAGTTATATTTAAGGTATAGTATGCAAAGCCAATAAAACTTTGTTTTCCAAAATAGATACTCAAAAACTAGGTAACTGTAGACATGACTTCTCCTCTTACAAAGGTTAATAAAATCAACCTTCAAAAATAATCAAAAATATAAGACCTACCTATTTAAAGGTAATGACTTTGTGGTCCATTATGGTATCAAATGTTCATGACTTCATATACCTCTTTTTTATATATATATTTATTTTTTAGTTGTACACAATACATTTATTTTGTTTATTTGTTTTTATGCGGTGCTGAGGATTGAACCCAGGGCCTCGAGTGTGCTAAGCAAGTGCTCTTTACATTGATTTAAAAACAAATGAAAGCCTTTAACATTTTATATATATATATACACACACACACACACACACACACACACACACACACACACACACTAAAAAGGTGAAAGTGTTATGTAAAAAGAAAAAAAAACAGGAATAGTGGGGCTTGGGGTTGGGCAGTGTATAGTATCCAGGAGGGTGCTGGGAAGGAGGACTCAGGAGGTCAGACATAAATAAAGCTTGAAAGTGAAGAATTTAGCTAAAAACGAATCTGGGGAAATATATATATATATTTCACAGGCTCCTGAGAGGATTAAGCTTCCAATTTAACTTTCTACTGATACATTTACTATTGTCTGACAGATACAGTATATCAAATCCTAAAAGTTGAAGTGCTGGGGATCAAATTCAGGGCCTCATGCATACTAGGCAAGTAAATTCTACCATTGAGCTACACTCCCAGTCCCTGACTGATGAATATTTTAGCACAAATTATTATTATTTCCTTCACTCAAATATAAGCTCCTTGAGGGCAGAGTTTTGTTGCTCCGGTTATTAATATATGTGGGTTATCTCCCCCCTGCATTTCACTGTTACATCCCCACCACCTAGAACAGTACCTGGAACATGATAGGCACTCAATATTTTTGCCTCAATTAATGTGAATAAGCTCCATAAATAAAGTTTCATGGTCTAAAAATAATTCAAATAATACTCAACTACAAAAGTCCTTAATAAGAGAAGAACTGCTAACAGATTTTGCTAATTTTCTTTAGGCAAGGGAACAACCAACTGAAGAGCTTATTGAGAATCCTAAGTGGGTCCTTTTAATGTTTAGTGGTGACAGAGCACAAAGACTCAAGATGGATGAAAACAGTGATTCATACTCAGAAGCACTTAAAGAAGGAACTGAGTTTCATTCCACTCTATATCACATGTTGAAGGATGTTGCTTCCAGGGAAGCAATGGAGAAAATCAATAATTCCAACTGCCTATTTATTGACTCTGTTTGTCATATGCTACTCTCTATTAGATTTCTCAGCTATTCTTAAATCTCTACTTGCAAACTATTCAATGTGAAGAATCAAACATGTTTGGGGAAAACAATCAGGTATTTTTCAAAGTGAATAATTTTAAAACAGGCTATTAAAATTATTGAATAGTATTTTGTATTCAAATTTTATTTTAAACAAAGTAGGCTTTTTTCTTTGGGCTATTGAGAATTTAGCTTTCACTGTATGAATATTTAAATGGATCTTTATTTAGATAAGTTTTAGCAAAACAATATATATTTCTTTCTCAAAGAGCTCATTAAAATATAGGCAAATTCTTCTCCCTTTAGTTTAGTTGGGAAGGTGATTGCAAAAAATGGGAATGTAAAACATTTTACAGTTGTTCTAAGAACCTCTGGTTTTGTACTATACTTTCCCTACTAAAAGTTACTAATTTATTAAGTTCAGATACTGAAACATTAAAAATCAAGATATCAGGATGCACTACATCACACTGGTGATTCACTGGTCACTGGATCACTGGTCACACTGGTGGTGGCCCATTGTGGCAGAGGCTGGTAAATGGCCACAAGATATGTTCTAGAGATAGCCAGGAGTCCCCTTCCTGTGTGGGGGCAGCATCCACAGATTTTTGGAAAAATCGGCCTGTGAGGAAGCTCATCAGAGCTGCAAACAGTACAATGAACACCACAGAAATCCAGAAGGCCTTGTTAGCCTTCCTGACGGAAGTCTTGAGATTTGTTGCCCAGGAAGCTATTGTGTCATAACTATGAGGAAAACACAAAAAGACATGGGTAAGCATAATTATTTGTTATTAGAAACACTCGTTGTGTGCCCCCCATTGCCCCTTAGAATTACATATGCTCTGCTGAGAACCTGGAAATTATGTGGTTTAGGCATAACTCCTAAAAAGTACATACACATATTCAACTTATTCTTTCAATCAGGTAAAGCAACTTTTACTCCTGCAGTGGAACCAAAATATTTACTTGGTAGAACAGGTTGTATGTTTATGGTCTTATATATGTGTATATATACATGACATTTCTCACTAAAATTATTTTTTAGAAATACAAGAAACTAAACATCTTAGAGGTGACAGTTCATTTAATTAGGACAACACAATGACATAGGTACTGCTGTCATCTCAATTTCCCAAATGAAGACACCAGTGCTTACAAATGGATGTACTTGCCCAGGTCACACAGCTAGTGAGAGAGCTGAAATTTGAGCCTAGGCTATCTGGTTTCACAATTAAGTTCCTAACATTGTCAACTCTTCTGCCTCTTGTAAAATATGTTCAGGGATAACAAACTTTATATGATCTACTACAATAGTTAAGTTTGTTATTCATCGTGTATTGAACAATTTGGCATGTCTTTTAGTAAAGGAATTTGATTAGGACTATTAATCCTGCCTTTCCCTTTCCCCTCATGTGGTATCATTTAGCAAGCAGGCAACTTACATGGAAGAGATGTCCCACTTTGATGGATTAGTTTTCTTTTCAGAAAGGCTTGTCTTCCTTGTTCTTTCTACTATTTCTTCTTCAGGAGGTTCTGAGTCATCTTTAGTTCTGTGAATAAATATTGTTTTTAAATATTGAAACTAATTATAATATGCTATAACTTATAAAATATTGCTGATTTGCTGTGTAACTCAAGGGGTGCATGAATATTTGTCTTGCTTAATGAAGATTTGATATCCAAAAATTAAATTTCTATAAATTTGGTGATAAAAATAACTTCTTCTATATAGAAAAATAGTAAATGCTCATATAAAAAGCAGAGATAATAACCAAGGCACACAAAACAAAGAAATAGTCAAAAACATATAATTAACTAATGTTATCACTGCAATTTCTTTCTCAATTTACATCATATATATATGTAGATAGATAGATATATAGATATAGATACTATCTTTAATCATACTTTACAAAGAGGATAAATGACCTACATATAATTTTTTTCATTTGAAATATGGTGAAAAAATTTCTCATTGCTTGGAGTAAAATGAAGTGTCATTTCTTCTCTTTATCTGAAAATCTTAAAATGTTCATGAAAATATTTTCAATGCTAAGCTAATTAAACTAATATTCAATGTACTGGAGAATAGCATATGACTTGACTATATTTCCTGCACCTGAATGAAACCTAATTGTTTTATGATTATAATGTTCACTAAAGGTTCCTAGCTGGATTTGAACTTTTAAATCCTAAATATGTTATGCCCTCACAATTGCCAAAGGAAACTGTGTTTTAATTTTTAAACATTTTTTTCCAGTCACATATCTACAGGAAATATAAAGGAAACAAGGCCCCAAAGGCAAAATCAATTGTAATTTTCTCCATGAACCAATATTTTGTTTTCAAAGATTTCTTAGTTTTCAATCTTTTGAAGGAACCTCTTTTTTCCCCACCCTGTTTGTAACAGGCTCCCAGGAGTTAGAAAAATAAAAAGAATCTGAGGGTAGGCAACAATGTCAGATTGTCTTTATATTGCTTAGGATTGAGGATAATCCCATGGGAGGTATTTCAAAATGACCATAAAATATTTCATTAAGATCTCTCAACTAACAGATGAGAAAACTAAGACCAAGTAATCTTAAGCAGTTTGTCTGCTGTCTTGCAAGGACAGAGGCAGCATTTCTTCACTTTTCTCCTCCTTGTCCTCTACCTTCACTATAGAAGTAAACAGTATATTTTGTTTAATTTGATGGATATAGAGACAATAGTATAGTTTATTTTCCCTCCTCTTCATTTATATAAATGGATGGAGGCACATATATTCCTATCTTTCATGAACACACAAACACACACACACACATACACTTCATGTTCTAAAAATTTAATTGGTACACTGTAATTATGCAGGATAGTGGGACTCATTTTATGTATTTAAACAGCATACAGTATAATTTTTTAAAAATCTAATTAGATGAAGATTTTACTTCTGTGGCACTTTATTGACTTTTCCCCAAGGACAAACACCTAAACAGGAAAAAAAAATGATCTTTGCCAATTGGACAAAATTTAAGGATTTTTCTAACCACAAACCTTCCCATTATGATGCTAAAAGAGTGAATGTATTCACAGATAATTTTCATAGAGTGCTTTAGGGGTGATAAAAATCTTCCACAATTAACTATATTTTTGAGGCAGCATCAATCTCATTTTCATGGAACTACTGTGGTCCCCATTGTTATGCCCCAGCTTATGTCATGTTAGTAAATGCACTTACTTCAGTTCACATTTTTCATCTTCAGCATCTGCCCAGGAATAGGTGCTAATAAATCGATGTAATGAGGGACGGTGTTCACTCTGCTTTGACCCCAAAATACGCCTAAGCAAAGAAGACAATAGCCACATATCAAAATAAACATATCTGTAGCCATTGTAAATTATTTCCTACAGTTTAAATCAAAACAAAAATTATATTTTCTAATTTTTTCCTTGGCACATTCACATAACTCTTATTTCTTAATAAAAATCAACATATGCCAGTTTTTTATATTTATTTATGCTCTGGACAAATTAGAAGTTGCACTACTATTTCAAATGCTTATTTACTTTACCCCATTATAAAACAGTGAGGTTCCAAAAGTGAAACCACAAAAATCACACTCACCAACTGCTGGACCTCCTGCTGAATCTGTCATTATTTTCCATCCCAGCAACCTTTAGAATTTCAGATGTTAAACAATAATATGTATTTAGTGAAGTTATATTTTGTTACATAAAAATGAATGTGCTTTTGATTAAGAACACTTACCATTGCTGCATTTCCAATATTTCTGGGTAAAGAAGCAATAGTCACTCTTCGTAGAGAAGATGGCTACCCAAAGGGGATAAGTGTACATTTAGAAAATTCTCAATATTTGTTCCCTACATACAACACTGATACATATGCATGTAACATACACATCTATACCCTTAACTACTACTGAGTTGAACAGGAGACATTCTAAAAGATTTTTTATGGGCAAATTGCATTTCAGAAATATTTTGCCAATTTATATTCTACTTTCTCCAATACTGATTATAATCCTTGCCAATAAGACAAGGGATATAAAACTTCTTGAGTTTTCATTTATTTGGCTCCTAGTAACATGGAGTGTTGTTTTCCTATGTTGGAAGTACATATTTGTTCTGAGAATGGCTTGTTTATGCCTGTGACCTTTGCTCATGTTTTATTTCTATGGAAGAAAATGTTTTCATTGTTAGTCCAGCCAAATGCATTCTTCTGTTTTGTTATCTTTGTTTTTATGCTTAAAAATAGTTTCTTAATTCAAGAGGAGATAAATAGGCACCTACAGTTATGGTTTCTTTAATTTCATTTTTTAAAATATACTTAGGATTTCATGATTTTTTAATTAAATTTAACTGTTACATAAAGATTATACATATATACACAAGAAAAAGCAATGTTTTGATGCATGTACGTATTATGTAATTTTTAAATCAGGTTAAACTGTCTCCTTAAACATCCTTCCTTGGTGAAAATTTTCAAAAATCCTTTAGGTTTTTGAAATGCACTGTACTTTTCTGTTAGCTATAGTCTCCCTACTGTGCAACCACACACTGGAACTTCTTGCTCCTATCTAATTGTAGCTTAGTGCCTATTGATCAACACCCCTCACCCATTCTCCACAGTCTCTGGTAACCACCATTCCACTTTCAACTTTTGTGAGATTACAGTTTTTTGATTCTACAAGAGTAAGTTTTCATGATATTTTAAAGAATAGATGTGTTTATATATCTGCCTTGAGACTTGTGCTGGAAATAATATTTAGTATTATGTGGTTTAATTAAATGCAACTTAAAAGATATAAAAATATTTTAAATGCAGTAAATAAACTAGAGGTTTCTTGTGAGTCCTTAAACTGTCATCTGTAATTGAATTTCACTGGTTAGTTGAGCACCCCAAGATTATCAAATTCCAGTTTGAGCAACCTGGTTTCTGATAACTTTCTGTGTTTCTCTGAAAAATATTTAGATGAAAAAATTTAAAGTCACTTGCTCAAAATATTGAAGCTGTGGTAAAAACCACTAACTGATCTTCAATATCCTATTCTCCTCTCCTTATTATGACTGATTTTTTAACAAGGCATATAACTTCCAGAGGAAAACCCATATTTTCTAGTTTAATTTTTCACCATTGATGGAAAGAGAAATCCCATGGTGGACTTTAAAAAGGGTCTTTTCAGGGAGAGGAAATGCTGGTCTTTGATTCTTTTATTTCCTTGCAATGACTCGACATAATGGTGAGGCATTGGTGACTGGATCTAAAGTAGCAACCTTACATGAGGATGAAGCCAAGGGCTGAGAGTAGCAAAGCAGCAAGAAAGGAGGATTTTGTCAGTCTGCCTTACTACTATCACATTGCCTATTTCCAAATTTGGTTCATATGATAGAAAATATTGCAAAACTGGCTTTTCTCATATTGCCAGACAAACTTGATTGATATCCAAATAAAGCAGGAAGTATAAAAACATACTTTCTAAACTATATCTAAATAATGTCACACATATATACATGCATATGAAGTATAATCACTGATTTGTGGTTTACATTTAAAGGCACATAACTTCAAAGAATATTTTAAAGCCACTTTGGTTATAATATATTCATTAAATGATTTATCAAGTGAATTAGTGATTACCTTGGAGTTCAGAGAAGCTGAACGTTTTTTAATCTGGCAGTCATCTACAAGGAAAAATATTTGCACATGTTAGAAATCACACATGCGATTAATGTTAAAACAGTTGTTTTCATTTTTTACAAGTAAAGCAAAGGTCAGAAAATATTTAAGACTCTAGAGACTATTGAGCAATATAAAAAACGTTTATCATTTATTTGGTGATTCATAACAGTTGCCATCTTCACCAATGGAAAACAGTCTTCCATGTCACTGTAGATGTTCACAAAGCCTACAAGCACATGGCAGCCACAAAAGGACTGTCTGCTGAATAAAGGAATCCATGAGTGCAGATTAGAAGAGCATCAAATATGATTACATTTCCAGAAGGAACATCAGTAAAATAAGAATTCTACTTAGAAATGTTCACACTGTTTAATGAAAAAATCATTATAAGATTTATAAAAACTATATGTTAAAATATTTCCCATGGCCTCATCTGTCCATTTTCCAATCAGTTGGCTTTTTGAAAGCCAAGATCTTTCCTCCTCTGAGAAATTCAAAATCATTATTGATGAGAGTGGCTCATTTAAGCTATTGTATCTTACTTATGTGTGGGAAAAGAGCCAATTCTTACATATCCTGAAAAGACAACTACTGTCAATACAGTAGATTAAATATATTCTCTCATCTCAGCAATCTAAATTGATTTAGTAAATTTTTGGTGTCATTATCAATGAAATCTTTTGTGGCTTCTAATCTATTTTCTGACACTTTACTTTTGTCTATATAAATAATAGGAGTAAGTTATTTTTCCAATATAGTCTTACCTAAGGGTCTTATTCTAAACACACAATACAGTAAGAGTATGAAAGAAGAGAATGAGAGAAAAATGTGACTAATACTGTGATCTTCAAGTTTTATTACCTTCATCTTCAAGAGGGTTAAAAGACCTTTCATTCTGCAAGAGAACCTGTTTCAGTTCTTCTAATTCAGCATGCTCTTTGGCATACATTCTCTTCAAGTTTTCTACATGCTGAATCATCACTTCAACTGCTTTACTAACCCGGCTTTCCTAGTAGGAAAAGAGCAAATTTACATTGAAAATACTTTTCTTAACACTCAATTAAAAGATGGGGATTAAACACATGCATTTACCTTCATTCCATCTCTAAATCCAACTAAAATGTCAAAGGTATTTTTTAAGAAGAGATGAGTCTACAAGGGCAAACAGAAGAGGTTATAATAGCAACATTTTGAAAGCAGGAAAGTAAAAGGATTCATGCTAAATGACTAAGACCTGAGAAAGCTGGACCCTGAAACAGGATGTAAAAAGGAGCTAGAAGCAACCTAGGTTGTGCCACAAAGTCTCAAAGGCTTAAGACTGGTGCCTCTAGAAGTAGAGCTGAAGATAGGCATGAGAGCATGAAGATAGTTGGAATCTGAAAACATGACAGAGCCATAGATTCAATCCCCTCTGGCCAGCAGAGCACCTTCCCTATAACCACTGTGGTGAAAGATAATCAGGTTGAATATCTAGAGAGAGGTAAACAAAGGTTCTGTGAATTGGAATTATACAGAGAGTTGGTGAAGACTATCTCATGGATATACACAAAAGTCTGGGTACATGTAGGTTTCTGAGTTCTCTCGACCTTATTCCTCTTTCTAGTTCCTAACACTGGCACCCACGGTTTTACCATCAGGCAGGGAGCTGGAAGATTTTTTTCTGGAGAACCCAACTTCCCAACATGAAAGTTCTTAAGTACGGACATTGGGGGTACCCTAATGAAGCATTCTAGTTTGTGTAAAGCTCAAAATCAAGAATTTTGCCCCATTCAGCATAGAGCTTCCAATTAGCTCCACGGTGGAGCACAAGATATGGGCCAAAACACACTACAGAGGATCGGTCTGCAAGAAACTAAAGCATCAAGGAAACCATCAATATCTTCAAAGAGTTAAGAATAACTGTTGCATCCACAGAATAAGAACAAGATATTTAAAAGGAACATTTGGGACATTAGTGTTTCTGGAAATTAAAAATATGTAAAAAAAAAAAATGTTTCAAGATAAAGTTGAAGTCTCTCTAAAACTAGAGAAAAAAGACTGAGGTAGCTTAGAGAGGACCAGTTCAGGAGATCCAACAAAGAACAGAGAAGAATTAAGAGTATAGGGGGAAAATTCAACAATGTAGAAAAGTCAATTAGAAAAAATTTCTGAGGGAGGTTTCCAGATGGCAGTATAAAGAAGGTTGTTTTCCTGGCTGCTCAGTGGCATGAAACCAAAAAAGCATTTAGGAAACTTCTCAGCAAAGTGGGTGAGCCAAAAATAAATAAATAAAAAGTTCAGGGAGGGACTTTACTGGAATTTAATACTGAACATTCAAAGTGGATGGGGGACTCTGGAGGTTCAATTCAATAAAATAAGGAAGAAATCCGAGGGCCACAGTCACTGCCGTGGCTGGAAGCATAAACCAGAGTGGACCCTCCATGAGCAAAGTGGAGGGATAAGGAAATTAAAGGAACTTGCATTTTTAGGAGTTCTGAGGTGTGTCTGAATATAGAGAGTTTAGAGATCAAAGAGAACACCCAACTAAATTGAAAGGTGTGCTGCACAATATCCTTGTGCAGGAAAGAATCCCCATCTCTCTCAGCTGTGTGCAGAGGATAGAGGAAGGAACCATTTTGCAGCCACAGTGTGGAGGCTGGAAACTGGGGGAACTGATGCCTGGCAAACCCAAGTTTGCCTCAAAATACAGGCCTGGCAAACCCACTCTGCATGACATAGAGTGTTCCTACCAGGAGAAAAGCAAATGTGAAGAGATTTACACAGAGGAATATTGGTTATGGAAACCCACCTGACTCTCCCCCTCCCACTGCAATCTGGCTGCTGCAGGACCTGGCTGGAAATTCAAGGGGTGGCGACAGGAGAGATTGGGTTTAGTGACTGAGTTGAGACCAGGAAATGTGGGGTCTGCAGATGACATAGTGGCCTAACATTTGGCTCCGCGATGACACTAGTGGAACCCAGAGGAGATCCATGGGGTGCAGTCTTCCAGCGTGGAACAACAATTGCTGGGCCCTGGAAGTGTGCTAATTTAAAATCTCCAGACCAACTGGCATTTAGTACAGAGCCTAGAGCCTACCTAAGCCTAAACCCCACTTCCAAGAGTTCTACCTACAGGATTAACTCCCTAGCAACCCCACCCTGAGGGCCGAGCAAGCATCATACACCAGACAACCCCCCTAACACTGCTGAGAAGGGAAGCTGAAAATCTTTAGAACTCCAATGGAAGCAATTCTTTAACTTTCATCAATAACTTTTTTTCTCTTTTATCTGTTTAAGTGTAACCTTAATGGTTCATGGACATTTATACACATTCATAGTTGTATCTTTCTCATTTCTAGCATTATTGAAGCCAGTTATTTTTCACGGATCAGTTTTATGAGGACTGTATTGTTTTGTTAGTATATTTCAGTTTTATATTTTTTATTTTAATTTTTCACATTTTTTCCTTTCACCTGTTTCCCTTGAAGTTCTTTCTCTTTTCTACCATTGACAGGCAATCTCTATTTTTTTCTTTTATACTTTCATTAGTTTTTACTTCTATATTCTCCTACTCCCTCATAATCATCACATCCTATATCACTTCTGTTCTCTCCCTGTCTACCATTCAAAATTATAAACCCTTTTGCAAACTTACTGTTTTATTGTACACAATAACTGATCATATCATTTCTGTTTATTGTGACAGTTATCATTGTAGATGTTATAGCAGGAAATATTTAGTTTAATGCTGTATATTGTTTGCATTGGTTGTTGATATTATTTGTATCCCACTAAATGACAAGGTACTGGAAACCTTCATAGACACAATAATTTTATAGGACAGAAACTCTACTGCCTCGGATTCATACTGTTAGATGGATAGACACACAAACATTATGAAAAAGCAAGGGAAAAAAATTACCCCAAACAAACCAAGATACTCCAATAATAGAATCCATGGGCACCACACTGGAAAAAATGTCAGAGGAGGAGTTTAGAACATACATAGTTAAACTGATCTATGAGATGAAGGACAATATAAGGAGTAAAATCCCAGAGAAAATTCAGGAAGTGAAAGATCACGTCAATAAAGAGATAGAGATTCTGAAAAGAAACCAGACAGAAATCCTTGAAATGAAGGAATTAATAAACCAAATTAAAAATTCAATGGAAAGCATCACTAACAGACTAGATCATTTGGAAGACAGATTTTCAGGCAATGAAGGCAAAATACAAACTCTTGAAAATAATGTTAATTGCGGAGAAAATATGTTAAAAGACCATGAACAGAACTTCAAAGAAATATGGGATAACCTCAAAAGACCAAATTTAAGATTTACTGGGATAGATGAAGTCTCAGAGATACAAACCAAAGGAATACACAATATTTTCAAAAAAATAATATCACAAAATTTCCCAAACCTAAAGAATGAAATGGAAATTCAAATACAGAGGCTTGCAGGACTCCAAATATTTAAAAAAAAATATTGCACAGACCCACACCAAAGCACATTATTAGGAAAATGCCTAACATACAGAATAAGGATAGAATTTTAAAATCTGCCAGAGAAAAATGACAAGTAACATTTTGAGGTAAATCAATCTCGATCTCAGATGATTTCTCAACCCAGACCCTCAAAGCTAGGAATGCTTGGAATAATATATATCAAGCTCTGAAAGAAAATGGATGCCACTCAAGAATACTATGTCCAGCAATATTTAGCTTCAGAATGGATTATGAAATAAAAATCTTCCATGATAAACAAAAGTTAAAAGAATCCACAACTAGAAAACCTATACTACAAAGCATACTCAATAAAATATGTCATGAAGAAGAAATGAAAAATAAATGTGAAAACCAGCAGAGAGAAGAACTACACTAGAAGAACAGGCAATCAAAGCAGAAGCTAATTCAAATTAAAAACCAGAAAGAAATCAAAATGACAGGGAATAAAAATTTCTCAATAATAACATTGAATACAAATGGCCTAAACTCATCCATCAAAAGACATAGACTAGCAGATTGGATTGAAAAAATAAGACCCAACAATATGCTGTCTCTAAGAGACTCACTTCATAGGCAAAAATATACTTAAGGTTAAAAGACTTAAGTTAAAAGAATGAGGAAAAAAAACATATCATTCATAAGGAACTCTAAACCAGTAGGAGTCTCTATCTTCATATCAGATAAAGTGGACTTGAAGCCAAAGTTAATCAGAATGGACAAAGAAGTACATTTAATGCTGCTTAAGAGAATTATATATCAACAAGACACAGCAATCATAAATATTTATGCCCCCCAAATGGAGCATTGATGTACACCAAAACAATTCCTTCTCAATTTCAGGAATCAAATAGACTGCAACACAATAATGATGGGTGACTTCAACAAACCTCTCTCACCCTGTATTGATCCTCCAAACAAAAGTTAACAAAGACATTATAGAACTAAAAAAATATTATTAATTATTTAGACATATAATGTTTCAACCATATAGGACTGAATACACTTTCTTCTCAGAAGCACATGGATCTTTCTTTAAAATAGATCATATCATAGGCCACAAAGCAACTCTTAGCAAATACAAAGAAAAAGAGAATACTTTGCTTTGTATTATGTCATAATGGAATGGAATTAGAAATCAATGATAAAATAAAAAAAATAGAAGCTACACTATCACATGAAGACTAAACAATATGCAATTGAATGACCTTGATAACAGAATAAATCAGTGATGAAATAAAAAATACTTAGAGGTAAATGAAAATAGAGATATAGCTTACCAAAATCTCTGGGACACTATGAAGCCAGTGCTAAGAGGAAAGTTCACTGCATTGAGCTCATTAATTAGAAGACTAGAAAGTCACCAAATAAATAACCTAACATTGCATCCCAAAGCCCTAGAAAAAGAAGAACAAATCAACACCAAAAAGCAGAAGATAGGAAATAATTAAAATCAGAACCAAAATCAATGAAATTGAAACAAACAAAAAATACAAAAAAAGACAAAACAAAAAGTTGGTTCTTTGAAAAAAAAAAAATCAATAAAATTGATAAACCCTTAGTCAAGCTAATGAAGAGAAATAGAGAAAACTCAAATTAATAAAATTTGTGATAAAAAATGAGGTGCCACAATGAACACTACTAAAATAATCAAAATAACCAGAAACTATTTTGAAAATTTATAGTCTAATAAAATAGAAAAATCTTGATGACATTGAAAAATTTCTAGAGACATATGACCTATACAAATTGAATCAGGAGGACGTAGTAAAAATTCAAACACATCAATTTAAGCAATGAAATTGAAGATGCCATCAAAAGCCTACCAACAAAGAAAAGCTCAGGACCAGACAGATTGTCAGCCAAGTTCTACTAAACTTTCAAAGAAGAACTATCACCAATCCTCCTCAAATTATTCCATGAAACAGAAAAGGAGGGAACCCTTCCAAACTCATTCTCAGAAGCTAGCATCACCCTGATACCAAAATCACATAAAGATACATCAAGGAAAGAAAACTTCAGATCAATATCCCTGATGAACACAGAAGCAAAAATTCTCATTCTCAATTCTTGATTCTGGCAAATTGCATACAAAACATTTTAAAAAGACAGTGTACCATGATGAAGTGTAGTTCATCCCAGGGATGCAAGCTTGGTTCAACATGTGGAAATCAATAAACATAGTTCATCACAACAATAGACTTAAAGACAAGAATCACATGATTTTCTCAACAAAATCAGGAAGCATAGAGCTTCCAATTAGCTCCACGGTGGAGCACAAGATATGGGCCAAAACACACAACAGAGGATCGGTCTTCAAGAAACTAAAGCATCAAGGAAACCATCAATATCTTCAAAGAGTTAAGAATAACTGTTGCATCCACAGAATAAGAACAAGATATTTAAAAGGAACATTTGGGAACTCAGGAAAAGGTTTAGGCAAACACAGGAATCTGTGTTTGAGTTGAGTTGGCTGCCTGGGACCATAAGAGGATACAGTATAGGTGGAGGTCAGCGTCAAGAGTGGAGTCTTGCAGTTCTTCAGCATCAAGATGCCTGTGAGAAGGTGTGGAACCACAAACCAGCCCAGAATAAAGCAGCCCATGATACAAAGAGAAAAGCCAGAATAATGTAGTATCTGAAAGCTAAATGAGAAGAGCGTGTCCACAGAAAGAAGAGTATTGATAGGTTCAGGAAGCTTAGGGCTAAGAAACTGAATTTATTAACATGCAGGTCTTTGGTGACCTTGGTAATACCATTTGATGGAGGCATAAAGTTGTTTAGAGATTTAGAAGAGAATGGGAGGAAAGAGACCTGGCACAATGAGTATTGTTCCATGGAAGAGATTTGCTATAAATGGGAACAGAGAAACGGGGTGGTAGTCAATGGAGAAAGGACCAAAGGTCTTTCTGTTTATATTTAGTTTGTATCTTCTCTATTTTTTAAAACGATTTTATTTACTTATTTATTTTGGGGGTACTGGGAGTGGAACCCAGAACCTCACCTATGCTAAGCAAGCACTCTACCACAGATAAATCCTAGCACCTCTCCATCTTAAAAACAACACACATGTGTGCTGAGGAGAATGATTCTATAAAAAGGGAAAAACTGCAGATGGAGGGAGGATGGCTGACAAAACCAGGCCTGGATGTAAAATAAACTATTAGAACACTGTCTTGAAAGCTAGGGCCTGGGAAAGGGAGAGTTCCCTCCCCTTTCAGTCAGCCCTTCTTCAGGAAACCTAATTAACACCATAGGCCCCTACCTTTGGATTGTGAATGACTACCTCTAAGAATCTAATTATTCCCCTTTGAAGTGTAAGCCTCCCTGTGGAGGCTTCTGGGCAAGGCTAGAGATGTATCAAAGGCCTTGTGAGAGGGGCCAGTTTTTCCCCTTATCACACTCTGCTTCCCTTTAGAAACCCTATGCAGGACCATTATCTTGTAGACTAGGAATGCTATGGCACCAGATAGCTTATGGATGTAAAAAACTGGAGGGGCGGGGCTCAGAATTTGGAGTCTGATCTCCTCTGGGCCCATCATTTGCTGCTTCTTGACCAGTCTGATTCCTACAACAGAAGCAAGTTGGGAGAACTGAGACCTATGTACCTGAGACCTATGTACCCCTAATTAGAGGAGATGGGATCCTGTATATAAGATGGGAGACAACTTGGTATCTTTGAAACAGCATATATGGGTTCAGACACTAGTGGTTTGGGGTATGTGGCAATTTTTTCTATTGTCTGTTTTCTCAGTGAGGTAGGATGCAAAATCATCATTTGACAGAGATGATGGGGGAGGACATAATGGTGGTTAGAGGAGACAGTGGAAAATTGGTAGTACTTAAGAGAGAGGGAGGGTGAGGATGAGAAGCCCTAGGATCCAATTGATGCTTGTGATGATGAAATTCAAGGGCTTGGTCAGCACAGGGCTTGTGCTATTTCCCAGCCATGTCGCCCTGAGCAGATGAAGAAGTGGACTTAAACAGGTTGGGTTTGTAAACAAGAAAAACAAAACAAGAAAGGGAAAGTGTTGAAGGTTCACGTAAGGTAGTGAAAACTATGTTTGACCATGGAGTTTTAAGTTGGTCACAAAAGAAGACGGGTTGACGATAGACTGAGGCACAGCAAAAGATGTATGTGAGGAGGCAGAGATTCACAAAGGAACTACATATTCATCTTCATAGTGGGAAAACAACAGATAATACCTAAAACTGAAACTAGATCACTAGCCAGATGTGGTGGTGCACTCCTATAATCCCAGTGAGTTGGGAGGCTGAGGCAGGAGGATTACAAATTACAGGCCAGCCTCTGCAATTTAGTAAAGCCTTGTCTCAAAATAAGGATGGCACTAGAGCAGATTATGCTTAGTGAAGCTAGCCAATCCCTAAAAAACAAATACCAAATGTCTTCTTTGATATAATGAGAGCAACTAAGAACAAAGCAGGGAGGAAGAGCAGGAAGAAAAGATTAACATTAAACAGATACATGAGGTGGGAGGGAAAGGAAGAGAAAAGGGAAATTGCATGGTAATGGAGGGAGATCCTCATTGTTATACAAAATTACATATAAGAGGTTGTGAGGGGAATGGGAAAATAAACAAGGAGAGAAATGAATTACAGTAGATGGGGTACAGAGAGAAGATGGGAGGGGAGGGGAGGGGAGATAGTAGAGGATAGGAAAGGTAGCAGAATACAACAGTTACTAATAGGGCATTATGTAAAAATGTAGATGTGTAACCGACGTGATTCTGCAATCTGTATTTGGGGTAAAATTGGGAGTTCAAAACCCACTTGAATCAAATGTATGAAATATGATATGTCAAGAGCTTTGTAATGTTTTGAACAACCAATAAAAAAAATAAAAAAAAAAAAGAAATACAAAGGGCAGGGTTGTAGCTCAGTGGTGGAGAACCATGGATTCAATCCCCAATACCAAAAACAAAAAATCCAAACCAAATACAAAAACAAACAAACAAACAAAAAAAAAAAAAAAAAAAAGAAAAGAAAAGAAAAAAGAAAGAAAGAAATCCTGAAATTGCAGCATAAACATGTTATTTAGAAATATAAAATAGACCCAAGGAGTTTAAAGTTGTTGCACTAAGGTATGGAAAATTGGATAAGATTTAGAGAGCTACTTCATTTTTTTTAAAACTATGTGCATGCATAACCTCAATAAAAATAAGACAAAATATTATCCTCAGTGAGGGGTTAAAAGGAATTAACACATATAAATGGAAAGCAAAATGATCAAACTAAAACTACCACCAAAATTAAATAGTGCCTTAAGAAAATATATTTAACAAGTCTGTTTAGTATATATATTTTAAAGTCTTCTCAGATTTTCCAACAAAAAAATTTTGAAATTCTACTTCTCTATGTGCAAGTATACAAAAATGCATGTATAAGGACATTTGTTATAGCATTGTTTGTAACAACAAAATATTGAGAACACCCAGAAATGATTAAATATAAGGAATTGGTTAAATGAGTCATAACTATTTAACCAACAGAATACCATAAAATGGGGAGAGGTGTGTATATATTTATATCACATGGAAAGTTATCTGTGCTATATGTTGAATGAAAAGGAAACAGATTATAACACTGTATGGAGGTAGATTATAAGCTAGTATGAAGGGAGTGTCTAGAAGAATATATCACAAAATTTTTATAATGATGGTCACTGCCCCTAATATTAGCATAAATATTTTTCTTTACATTTTTATTTGTGTATTTCTATTTCTTATATATTAAAAATGCTTATCTTAATATAACAAAGTATTTTAAAAGCTTTTTCCAAGAAAGTATAATCCATAGCCTCAGAGAAAATAAGTCCTTTAATTTTTTGCTGAACCAAAGGAATAGACAAAAGTTACCTGATTAATGGCTCCCAACATCTCGGCCCTACTGGCTACTCGAGTTGCACATTGGCTGAGGAACGTTATACTCTTCTCCAGCTTCTTAATGACTTCCTGGGCCTGGTTGTCCTCTTCACACAGAGGTGTTAAAGACTGCATAGAAAGTAACGTTTAATTAAAAGATACAGAACATAAGCATTAAACAAGAGAGTCTTACACTAAGTCTAATCTCAATTATCTTGGTGGAAAGTTGAAAAGAAACAGCAATGACCAATAATGAATGATATCAAAATATTTTATCTTTGCTGGCTAACAGGTAGGCATATGCAAATGTTCACAAAATCTTTTAGATGTCTTTGTAAGCTATTCTTTTTATAATTCCCAAATGTGCCACTTCTTCCTGAACATTCATATTTTCTTCTATGGTTAATAGGATGGGATATCATTAATTGGCAATAGTAAAGAGATTTTGCTTAGAAATGAGTTGAATGTATCATATGAACAGCAATGGATAGAATTTTGAGAAAAGCAGCATAACAGTGGAATTAGAACTGGCTCTGACTATTATGCCTGCTCTTCTGTTGATGATCACATGGTATTGGGCTAGCTAGGTGGGTATGTCTTTATTGCCTCATGAATATATTTCCCTGAAAAACCTGTGAACTTTATCTAAGATGATGTCCTTCCTGATGAAGGACCATCCTTTTCACTAGGGTAAAGACAAACTTTAGAGAAGGGCATATTTAGAAGCAAAGAATCCACCACTCATTAGCCTACAATTATCATCAAATTTCTAAAACATGACCAAATCAAAAACACTATGAATTATAACAGGTGCCATTATTTTGTATATCATTAAGTAAAAGTGTTGCCAATAAAACTGAGGCACCATTAATTATAAATTACATAACTCTGAAGATGTTAAGATGTCAATTGTTTTTATTTCCTATTTCCCTATCAGTCCGATGAAATCAGACATCTCCTCTCCAAGAATACAGCAATATGAAAGGTAATGGATGCCAAATGCTTTTCACACAGTAGGTGCTCACTGAATTGCAGCCACTTCTGAAACAGATGGTTAGGTCTAAGTTGTAACCAGAGAGTTGTTAAACATCTAGAATGACTCTATCAGACGTGTAATTCCCTATAGTTGTTAAAATGACAACATCCAGGAGCTGGGAATGTGGCTTAGTGATAGAACACTTGGCTATCACGTGTGAGGCTCTCAGTTCAATCCCTAGTATCACAAAAAAAGAATTATAAAAATAAATGATTAACTACCTCCAGTTGGGAAGGGAAGAACAGATATTAGTTGTAAACAGAACAGATATGGTTAACCTAGATTGAATCACGAAGAAATAAAGAATCTAAACAAACCAACAATTAGTTAGGAGAATGAGTCAATAATCAAAAACATCCCAACAAATAAAGGTCCAGGACCAAATAGCTTTACTGGAGAATTCTAACAAACATTAAAAGAAGAAATAATGCCGATTACTTAAAAACACTTTTAAAATTCCAACAATGGGGAATACTACCACACTTACTCTATGAGGACCCCATTAACTTGATACCAAAGCTGGACAAGAAAGGAAACTAGATAAATAAACCTGACAAATATTGATGCAAAAAAATCATTTAAAAATGCCAGCAATCTGAATTCAAGAGCATATAGAAGATAATATACAGCATGCTCCAGTGGGATTTAGTTTTGGAATGCAAACATGAATGATATATGAACATCAATCATAGCATACCACATTAACAGAAAGGAACACAAAAATCATGCTTTGTTCAATTGATGTAGAAAAGGCATTTGATAAGATTCAACACTTTCATGATTTAAAGAAAACACATCAAAAAAACTAGGAACAGGAAATTACCTCAACATAATATAAGTCATACATGAAAAACCCAAAATGAACATCACACTCAGTGGAGAAAGACAAAACTATTCTTCTCAGATCAGGAATAAGGCAAGGATTCCCACCCTTACCACTTCTATTCAACATATTAGAACACTAGTGCTATAACCAGAACAACTAGGCAAAAAAAAAAAAAAAAAAAAAAAAAAAAAGAGAGAAAAGAGAAGAGAAGAAAAAAGAAAGAAGGAAGGAAAGAAAGAAAGAGAATCCAAATCAGGAAGGAAAATACAAAAATATCTGTTCAAAGATGGCATGAACTTTTGTGTAGAAAACACTAATGATTACACACACACACACACACAAAAAAAAACTGTTAGAATAAACAAATTTAGCAAAATTATAGGACTCAATCCTCAGCACCAGACAAAATAAAGGTATGGTGCCCATCTACAACTAAAAAAAGAAAGAAAGAAAAGAATTCCATTTACAATAGCATAATAAAGGAATAATACTTGGGAATAAACCTAACCAAGGAGAGAGAAGTCTTGTCTTGTATATTGAAAACTATAGAACATTGCTAAAAAAAAAGTTAAAGACACAAATAAATGAAAAGATATCCTGTGTTCATAGATAAGTAGATCTAATTTGAAGTATCCATACTACCCAGAGCAATCTACAGATTCAAGGCATTCTCTAGTAAAAATCCCATTTTTCCCCCCAGAAATAGGAACATGTGGGCCTTATAGTATCTTATATCTTATATCTCAGTGGTGGAGCTTGTGCCTAACATTCATGAGACCCTTGACAGTACATCACCAAAAGAGCAGATACAAGACTAATGAAACAGGACAGCCTGGAAAATAAACTCTTGTGTATATGGTTAATTGGTCTTTGAGAAGGTACCAAGAATGCACAAGGGGAAAAATCTGTTCAAGAAACAGTGTTGAGAAAAGTGGCTGTTCATATGCAAAAGTATGAAATTGGACCCATTCTCTGTACCATATAGAAAAATTAGCTCAAAACTGATAAAAGACTTAAAAGTAAGAATCCAAGTTAGAAAACTCCTGGAAGAAAACACAGAGGAAAAGCTTCATAGCATTGAATTTAGCTACAATTTCTTGGATAGGATACCAAAAGAACAGACAATAAAGGTATTTAAAAAAGAGAGAGACAGACAGACAAATGGAACTATGTTAAAAGCTTTTGTGCATCAAAGGACCAGATCAATAGAGTAAAAAGGCATTTTAAGAATGCAACTTAAAGGGATATAATTGTAAATGAATTCATATAACTTTAACTTGATTTAAAAATGGACAGAGGATTTTCAAATGTCCAACAAGCTATATGAAAAGATGCCCAATATAATTAGTCATCAGTGAAATGCAAATCAAACCCACAATATACCACCTTGCACCCATGAGGATGCCTATTATAAAATCAGAAAATGACAAGTGTTGGTGAAGACTTGGACAAAATACAGTTGGTGACAATATAAAAAGCAGCAGCCACTATGCAAACAGTATGGGTGGGGAGGGTTTTCAAAAGGTTAAAATAGAATTACTATATGATCCAGCAAATTCCACTTCTGGATGTATACTCAAAAGAATTGAAGAGATATTTGAACACCCATGTTTCTAACAGCACTATTTGCAATAGGCAAGAGGTAGAAGCAACCCAAATGTCCACAAATGGATGGATAAACAAAATGTGGTATATACATAAAATGGAATATTATTCAGCCTTCTAAAGGAAGGAAACACTGTCATATGTTATAACACAGATAAACCTTCAAGACATCATGCTAAGTGAAATAAACCAGTTTAACAAATACATATATCATATGAGTCCACTTACATGAGGTATCTAACAGTCAAGTTCATAGACACAGTAGAAATGTGGTTTCAAGGAGGTGGGTTAAGGAGAAAAATGGGAGTCAGTGGATGTAGGGTTTCAGCTTTGAAAGCTGAAAAACTTCTGGAAATCCATTTTGCAACAATTTAAATATACTCAACACTACCGAACATATATACTGTTAAAATTAAGATGATAAATTTCATGTTTTATACTTTTTAATCACAAAAAATTTTTTACTATGATTTCCCAATTTTTAGTTTTTCACCCAAAATGAAACTCCTTAATTTCTGAACTGTCTCTAAATTAGTGGAAACTTCATGATATGGAAGGATAACAGTTGTATCCTTCCTCATACCCTTGTTCTTCTCTCAGTACTTTACAGCAACTTGACAAGACTCAAGTGACACTTTTTCTTCAGTTAATCATAAATGGAAATAGATTTTTACATTATGAAGCTTAAATGATATTATCTCTCATTTTGTTTTCTGTCTGAAGTCTATTTGAAAATCCAGAGAAGGCAGATGACTTGTACAATCTACTTTAAGAGGTATTTTTTTTAGTATTGTTACTGATATTCTCCCATTAGTGAACCTTTTATTTTGGCCTGATCTTGAATTCTATTTATCCACATTTTGTTTGGCAGAGTTTATCATATAGTGTTGGTTTTAGTCATCCAAGTAAACTCAAATGTAATTATGAACATCATTAAAATACAACCAAATGTAGAGCTTCCAAATAATCTGGTTCGTACCTCCAAGAGCTTTAAACAGTTAGTGATTTCTTTCTTCAAATTGTCTTCTGCCAAGTCCCGAGATCGCTCTTCAAGCTTCACTCTTTTCTCTAATGTAAACCAGTCACATTTAAATCCCAAAGATAATCTGAGAAATTCTGCCTGTTGTCAAAATAACATGAGGGTGAAGAGAGAAAGTTTAATGTGGTCGAACATTTCAATTTCACACAGTATTATCCTGAGACATTTTTTTTCTCATCCCAGCAATAGAACAGTCATGCATGGGCTGGACCTGCGCTTTGTCACTTTTAGGCCAGACACCAGACATACCTGAGTGTGTGTGTTATGCTAAGCATAAAGCCAATGTAGCAAGTGAGTCTGAAATTTTTTTTTTTAAAGGGAAAAAATAGGTTTAAACTCACCTCCACTTCTTTTTCATTAGCAGACGTGCTGTAGGATAAGACAAAGGACTTGCTCAGAATATATTATTTATTTTTCCAACAGAAAAATAAAAAGTGAAATTAAAACATAAAGAAGAGCTTACTTTTCACTTTGTCTGAAGTTAACGGATTTCGCGGTAGTTACTGGAACAGGGGAAATCCCAGATTCTATCAAAAGAGAATAAATATTTGGTTAAGATGGCTCAACACCTAAAAGTGCATTTTCATTAAATACTGTTATGTCCCATATTTACTAAATGAAGGCATTTCATTTAAATACATCTGAGATGATAGCCAGATAATGTGTGTGCTTAAATTATAAGATAATATTTGCGGAGCCATTGGGATCAGAGCATTAAGATCACCAATTCACATCTCAAGCAGTCTTTGAAACCGGAAGATGTAACAAGAGTCAAGAGATGGGCCCATCTGTCCTCTTTGCATTTGAATATTTGTTGTACTAGATCCCATGCTACATGCATACCTTCCTCTGGTATTCTGGTTCTTCCTTAGATTAAAACTTTAACAGCAACACCGGCAGGAATAATAGTTATACTAATAGTAGTAGCAGTAACAATAAATAATAATAATCCTGGTAGTAACAGTAACAATAAACATAGCATCAAACTCAGGTTTACAATATTCCAGTCCCAGAACAAATCTCTTTACATTTATTAGGATTTTCTTTATGACAACTTTGCAAAGGACAATATATTTAATAAAGAGCATTAGATTTGAAACTGATAACACTTGATTTAAAGCTAAGCTTTGGCTCTTACAGATATGTGATCATGAATAAAACAACCTTATTAAACCATCTACAAGATAAGAATATTATTTTGATATAATAGGTAACTTTTATGAGAACTGCTGTGCCAGGCCCTTTTCTATGTGCTTCATACATATTAAATTATTCAATCAATCCTCACAGCAAGTTTTCTGTGGCAGACACTGTTGTCTGCTTTTCACAGGCTAGGAAAATGAACCATGGGGTACCTTACCTCATATTTGCAGGATTGACTAAAACTATGCACATAAGGAATTTAGCCTAGGACTTAGTATATTGTCAATTTTCTATAAACTATACTTACTTTTTAAATATATAATTACCATTTTGCAGATGAGAAACTGAGACTCAAAATTGAATAACTATCTAATACCACATAATGGTCAGAGCTGGACCCAAACTAGAGTCTGAGTGACCTGACAGCCTGAACTCTAGCCACTGTTCCACCCTAGTGAAGGGAAGGAAGCATATTAGGTCTCATTTTTAAAACATTGGTTTATTTACTTTTAGATGTGATGCTGAAAAAAATCAAGTAGAGCAGAGAATTACTACCAACATGCACAGGCTTGCTTCTTAGTTAACAATAGAGCACTAATTATTACAAGTCCTCTGGCATTGAACAGTCAATGAAATGTCAACGTGGCTTTTTGACAATGATACAAATGGAATCAGGACTGGGTTCTATTGGCTGACCTTATCCAGGGATGCAGAATTTGTAGGTGGCAAATCTACTCAGACTACAACTACAAAAATAGCCACAGGGACAAAAGTACATATGGGGTTGAAAGAACACATTTCTTACCTCCTGAAGCACATTCTTTTCTATGCTCTTCTATTGTTTTGGGTTCCTCTTTGGCTTCCTAAAAACATAAGGAAATTTTATTGTTGTACACAGAGTGGAAGTTCTTCATAACCGAGCGTTTCTTCACTTCCTGTGCTCTACTAACCCAACTCTACAGTGCACAGGGAATTGTAATAAGGGTTAAGGAAAAACAAAAACAAATCTACTTCTGAGGGCGTTCTCAATCTAGTTGAGGCAAATAGAACACAAACATGAAAAGCTGTGAACATGACACAAGTTATCACAAAGCAAATTTGGATTAATTGCCAAGTAAATGAGGCTTAGGTAAGTCAGTGTTCTGAATGGGAAGGAGGCAGAACCGCATGGGACATCTGCAGGCCAGGAGTGTGACAGCAGCAAGAGGAGAGGTAGAACTGGGATGCATGTATGTATGTATGGATGGATGGATGAGAGGTAAAGTAGAGGTGATCTAGAGCCATATAAAGTGGCTTCCTATGTTGGTTTTTGAGAGAAATTGTGGCAGAGATAGCTGTTAAGATTGTGCCAGGTGTGGTGGTGCACACCTGTAATCCCAGCAGCTTGGGAGGCTGAAACAGGAGGATCACAAGTCCAAAGCCAGCCTCAGCAAAAGCGAGATGCTAAGCAACTCAGTGAGACCCTGTCTCTAAATGAAACACAAAATAGGGCTGGGGATGTGGCTCAGTGGTTGAGTGCCCCTGAGTTCAATCCCCAGTACCAAAAAAAAAAAAAAAGATTGTGTGTTGTGTGAGGTCTTAATTTCACATAATATATTTTTAGGTCACTGACCAACTGTTCTATACATAATAAATGCACTTGTATACAAGGGTTACCGTAACAACAGGATTGTACTGTACTGTCTGGGAAAATCTCATGGGAGAATTTAAGTATGCAATTATTTTTATGGTATTATTAGACATTTTCAAAAGAATGGAGAAATTTAGAAAACCAAAGTTCCCCATCAAAAAAATAAGTCTAAGAAGACAAATTTCCTTGGTAGAGCCATTAATACCATGCCATATAATTTTTAGACAACTGAAATGAAGGTTTCAATAGACTACAACAAATGTAATAATATAGGTAAAGTGCTGGCTCGCTGTCATCAACAGGTGAACACTTTTGAGTTTTTTGAGTCTTTTTCAATCCCATGACCTCTCCCAGTCAACAGCCTTCCTGCGGCCCTCCTCAGCCTTGCTCCAGGAGGGCCTGACCATGGCTGAATCCAGTCTATCTTCCACTCACGATCAAATGCCCTTCTTTTTTATTATTATTATTATTAGTTGTTCATGACAATACAATGATTTTGATATATCATACATTTGAATCAAATGGTGTATAATTTCTCATTTTTCCAAGTGTACAGGTTGCAGAATCACATTGGTTATATGGCCACGTATATACATACAGCACTTGTCTAGCTTATGCCCAACACTCCAGGGAAACTGCTCTCATCAATGACCTCCTTAGTGCCAAATACAATGACCATCCTCACTCTTAATCTTACTTGAACTCATTTAGCATATAAAACAAACAAAAAAAATCTTCTTGAAGATGTTTTTCCCTCTCCTGAGGGTCTCCCTTCCCAGTCTCTTGGCTGTTGCCTTCTCTGCTAAATACTATCATCACCCTGAGTGCTCCCTTCCTGTCGGCCCGAGTCATTGGAAAATCTCATCCACATATTTGCAGAGTTCTTTGCTGATAACTCATGAACATGTTTCTGTTTCTAAAAGAGTCACATGAGTGAGATTATGAACATAGGTTCATAGTTATGTGTAAAATCTCCTTAGAGACTACAGATGTCTCATATCAATCCGAAACTTACTTCAAAATGATCTTATTTAACCTCACAAATTCAGTTCTTCCTTTTCCCCTCCTCTTACGTTATTCTATTCATTCTTGTAGGTTAATCCATAACACCTGGGTACCTCTTTTCCCACATCCCTGATGGAAGTCACTACTGCTGAGAATTTCCACCTCTAAATAAATCTCAAATTCATCTCCTTTTCTCCATCTTCACCAAGTTTAAACTACCTCCAACTCTTATCTGATTTATTACAACTGCATTATAATCAGTCCTACTACCACAATTACTACATTTTCCTAATAGATTATTTCTTAAAGTGTAATTTTTTTTTTGAGATGGGAAGGATTTTTTTTTTCCTCAGAACACTCTACAATGGATAACTAAAGAAGTTACAGGGGGAATGATTTTCAGCATGTGTGCCAGCCAGCGCTACACCCTATGTATACTTCACACCACTCTAAGGATAGTTTCGGATCACATACCTCACTGTCCCACTTCCTGTAGACCATAAGAGGCCATAACATTTTATTCTACCTTATTTATCACCCATATGCACCCATATCAGAGACTCCTCTTCACTTGATTAGTTTGCATGAATCTATTTCTTGCAAACAAATGGACCTAAATGCAATAATGCTTATATACTGAGAGGAAGACAGCAACAAAACACACACACACACACACACACACACACACACTCCACACATACAACAGCGGGACTAATACATAAGACCCCTGGAGAATCATGAAATTGGATCCATAGCCTACAAGTTACCCTTCAATTATTAATTCATACAAGTAGAAATAAGACATCCTTCACAAAAGGAATTAACATTTTTTCTATAAACATTTATAGCTATCCTTATGTCTTAGAGAGCTTTGCTAGGCAACTATATTCAAGATGGCTAATTCGATTAACCTCATAATTTTCAAAGAATAAATGGGGAATACTTCTAAGAGTCCTTTGCAAATTAAAGAGGCAGCTCTACCACAGTAACATCCATTTTATTGTTCACATGTGCGTACTTCCTTACCAGATTTGATATGGTTTTATCCTTACTCATAGTGTCTTGGCATACAATGTTCTCAGGATCTGGACTGGTGCCTATGAGAAAAAGGAAATACAGTCAACAGTTGGGGGTGCAGTAACAAGTAAAAGAGGAAGAAATCATGAGGGTAGCAATGTGGACAGACCAGGGAAGACAAAAGCCTTAGCATGTGAGACAAACGTAGGCACTGCAAAATGCACGAAGGCGCATGACTCAGAGTCAGGGATGGAGGAGGCCCATGGGGAAGCTGAACCACATAAAACTGCCCAATCAAAGGAACATCTCCATGAATGCCCTTTCAAAGTAGGCTGGTTTTTCTTTAATCTTTTTTTTTTTTTGGGGGGGGGGGGTTGTTGATGGACCTTTATCTTATTCATTTATTTACATGTAGTGCCGAGAATAGAACCCAGTGCTTCACACATTAGGCAAGTGTTCTACCACTGAGCCCGAGCCTCAGCCCCAGCCCATAACTAAGCTTTTTAATAGTGTGGCAAACAGTTTTTTAAAATTTACATATGCAAAGCTGATAAGCATGTGATATCCTACTAACATGAACCTTTCTGAATATGACATCAAAAGAAAAGGTACACTTTAAATTTGTATCATGCCTTTTTGTAACTTCCACATTTTTTGTGGACGTCTATACTGTCATTACTGTAGGTGATTATTCTCCTCTTCACAGGATCCTTTGCCCTGCATTTAGTTTAGTGCAGACACAGAAGTGAGCAGCGAGACAGTTTCCTTTCTTTCTTTTTAAGAAAAATATATTTAAAGCAGGTGTTGTATTTTAAAATTTTATATGCAAATGAAAACAAAATGATCACCAGATTCCTTAGAGATGCACATTTCTCCCCAGATATGTTTTGTTTTAGTTTTCCTTAAATTTTAAGACAGATAGTAAGTTCTTATGACCCATAAATAAAAAGCAATGTTTTACAGTAAAAAATTTCATCAATACCTGCCAGAAACCTGATGTTCTTGCTTTTAGAACATGATATTAATTTTTGTCTAGCCTTCCAGAAACACTTTCTGCAGACATAAAAACTGGTTTTTTTTTTTTTTCAAATTTTACATATAATACATATTTTCTATACTTTTCCCAAGGAACAGTAGTCCTTTCATAGTATTACATGAAAAATTCTCATCATACATGTTTTATGTATGCATATTAAAATTCCATTACATGGATATGCCATAATATAGACTTCTGTTAATAGTTAACTTGTTGCCAATATTTTATTAGGAACAATGTTGCAACAATGAAGCTTACACATGTCATTTTGTATTGTGTGTGCGTGTATTTATAGGCTAAATTCCCAGAAACTGAATTGTTGCATCAGTGTTGCATTTTGATAGATACTGTAGCCATTTTTGTTATCAAAGTTTACATTTCCTACAGCACTATATGAGAATTCCTTTTGGCTTTACAGCCTTACCAACAGAATATAATCAATTTTTTGCATCTTTGTCTATTTGGCAGGTAAAGAATGGTATCTTGGTGCAGTTTTGATTAAAACATTTCCTTACTAAGTATAAGTTGTATTCTTAACCCACGGAACAGATTCCATTTCTAAAATTTTATGACTACTCTAACTTAGCACTTGCACCTCAACTTTAAATGTTGAGTTCAAACAACAGAATGGATTTACCTTGACTTTTTCCTTTTTATAGTAGGAATGGGAGCCTACATCTCCCCTGGGGGTCAACTGTAGTGATGTCTCTCTGAAAATGATTAAGAACTACTTTGTTTTCAGAGTAGAGAAGCATGAAGGATCTAAAACCAGCTAGCTCTTTTGCCTCCTGAGTTTACCACTGCTAATTGGTCCATCCTTCTGAACTGATAGACTAATTCAAATTCTAAAAATTTCCTAAGGAATGTCACATCTGTGTCATACTTGAAACCCAGCAGTGTCCAGTCAGTCTGTCAGAAGGAAATATTCAAGCCCCAACACAATATATTGGTTTTGTTCTATCTACAAAATTGAGTGAAAAAATGTCTTCAAAATTCCTTTATAAGAATTATTTTGTAAGAATTAATATAATATTGCTGAGCTATTAAGGACAGTGACTTCACTAGCTTACAGGTTTGCCTTGTGTATTAGAATGAAGCTACTCTTTTAAAAATATATTTTTTACTTGTAGATGAACACAACATCTTTGTTTTATTTATTTTTTATTTTGTGGTGCTGAGGATTCAACCCAGTACCCCCACACATGCTAGGCGAGCACTGCACCACAAAGCCACAACCCCAGTCCTAGAATGAAGCTACACTTGAATCCAGCTTACCTTGGATCTCTGTCATGGAAGACACTGGTCTTGTTGCCTCCTCTTTCTCACAGAGTGATTTACAGTCAAGGCCACCAGAAGCCATATTCAAAACGTCTGATCCAGAATCTACCAATAGGAAGAAACTAACAGTGTGACTCCTATGCAAAGGAGAATTTGCCTATGCTCTTCTCATTTGCTCACATCTCAGCAGGTTTCAGAACATAAAATTATAATCCTTTTTTTTTGTTTGTTTCAGTGTCTCTTCCAAGTCCACTCACCACTTGAAGTTACAGTACTCTCTGAGGAGGAAGTGTGTCCAGGCGATGGTAGTGTGAGATATTCCCTAATAAAAGGGTAGAAAAATATTTCAGTACATCAGATTCAACGAATTCTCTTTTAAATGAGCAGAATATGCACATAAATTCACACACCCAACACCAAAAGCAAACCTGGACTGTGGCAGGTCCTCAGAACCCAAGTGTTCAACACCATTCTCCTGGAGGGAGAAAACACAGAGTTCAATGATTCAATAGTTGCCATTTCAAAAAGTACAATACTAAAATTTCCCCCTGATTTAAAGTATATTTATGCATCTGATATTAAGGAAAATCTAGACAAATCTAGGGGCAAACAAACTTTAAATTCAAAAGCAGATAGAGTTTATTTATTGAACTTAAATTTTCTTTAAACAGAACATTCTACATGAGCATATAAAACATTTCTATTTATGGGACTATTACTCAATCTAAAACTTTTGGCCAGGTGATAGGAATAGTTCTAATGTTTCCAGCTAGATAAACCATACATTTTAAGTTTAATCATATCTCAAAGATCTGAGGGATTATATCTAAGACAACACCAGTCACCTGGCATTTTAAAAGAGCTTCATAGAACTGTGGTCCTATTCTGCCATGGCAAGGTTTTGCAAGTCTCATTTGAACCTCTAAATTCTATCAAGAATTCCCAAATTGGAGGGCATTTTAGGACATTAGGGTTTGTTAGTATATTTGTTCTGTTTCAAAAAGAGATATGGTGGTAACATAGCTTTCTTTTTAATAGTGAGGTTATTTAAGTTTACTTTCATTTTTATGTATTTAGAAAGCTTGTAATAAATTAAAACTAATATAATTTAGGCATATCAGAAACTGGTGCAGATGATGGAAAAATTAAGATACACATGCATTTCATAATCAAACACAGAACTCATTAACTACCACAGCCAACAGCAGATTTCTAGAGAGATATGCTGCATATCATACAGGGTATTTAGTATCTATTCATGAACATATTTACCATAACCACAAAAGGCAAAGATTTAGAAAGGGCTTGCTGAATTTGTAGTTTCCCAGTATGATAAATAGCAGCCTACACCTGTTGAGCACATTAAAGTTTACAAAAGCCCCCTTTGTATATCATCTTATCTAATTCTCCCAAAAACTATATGCAACAAGTTTTTGCATGTAAGGAAATTAATACCAGTGATTAAAGCAATTTCCCAAGAATATCAGAATGGTAGAGCCAATCATCAAACTCAAATAAAACTAAATGCAGTGTTCTCTCCATTGTAAATAAACCACTCCAAATACATACTAACCTAACAATTTCCAACTTTGTCTTAGACTTGTAAATGATTTAAATATAAACTTTTAAAGTGTTCACCTTAAATGCTTAGAAAAATTTACAAACTTAAAACAAGAATTTACATCTTAATGACATTCAATCTTTTGTTTTATTTAGTTCCATTACTATTTTTTTAACTTTAAAAATTTTATTGATAAATATGTTTAAGATGCACAATGTGATGTTTTGATACAGGTATACATTGTGGAATAATTATATCAGGCTGATTAGCATATTTGTCACCTCTTTGGTTCAGATCATATATTACCAAAGCCCCTTATGACATCAGTTTAATTTAATTTCATGATCTTTCATCAAAGATCCAGTATGTTGTGATATATGTAAGAAATAATTAATAAATAAATAATTTTTTTTAAAAAAGATCCAGTGTGTACAAGGAGCAGAGACGAGGCCCGGAGACACATGGAAATATAGGCCTTTTCCTGAAGGGGCTCATAGGTCAGTCAAGGAGATGAATCTATAAAACAAATACCTTATAACTGATAAGCAGTACTTCACAGAGGAAGGCCATATGCAAAGAACAGAATTCACAAAGTAGAGTGATATTGGAATTAAATTTTGAAGAGAAATTGTATCTTATTACCTGTAGGTAGGAAACGGCCTTGTCTTTATATTTTAAAAATACATTATAGTAGTAATTATTATATGCTTATTTACCTAAACTTCAATATATATAAAATGAAGCTATAAAAACTGGATAAAATTAAATATCTTTCAGTTTCATTGGGTATTGAACTTCAGAAAAATCAACTGCATTTCTTTATAAAAAATCAAGTCCATTGAACATTTCACAAAATATAAAACATGGTTACTATGTATGGATTGAAATAATATTATTGCACTATAACTAAAAGCTATCAGAGAAGACTTCATCTTGTACCTATCAGGTTCATGGATAGTCATATTTGAACTTAAGAAGTGGGAAAGAGAATTCAGTTATCATTGTCATTTCACTAAGCTGGTTTCCAAAATAGAGGAAAATGAAACATAATTTTTTTGTAAAACTTTCATAAAAAGAGCTTAATATTATCCTATTTAAGGTGAAAACAATAACTATAGCAAAAACCTAGTGGGCCTCCATTATGTTACAAATGAGTCTCATTTGCCATTATGCCCTGCTTAAGGCCTCTTTTTTCTATATCTTACAATGAAGCATTTTATGGAGAAGAGGTTTGATAAATGTGAAATATTTACTGACTAAACAAATAATAATCTGATTCTGAAGACACTCATACATATATCTCTTCATTGCCTGGAGTAGTTACAAGGTAAGCAGGTGGATATTACTCCCAAATCATGAAACTCTGTAAGTCTTAGTGATCAGAAAACAACCCCACAGACAACATATCTTAATTCTAACTTCATAAATTTGTTCTAACAACACTATTTTCTTCTCACAAGAATAACCAGAGAAAAGGAAGTTTCAAATTTTGTTTCAAACTTAGGATCTAGTTAGTGAAAGTTGTAGATATAACACTCAAAGTTTCTTGCATGGGGTTGGGGGTAGGCTAATCAGCAAAAACTTTCCACAGTGGGATCTCTTCTTCTAGCATCAAAAGTTACCCTCTTCAAACCAGCATCCCAATTAAGCCTGCTGAAGAATCTACTCACACACACCAACTTTGAGACCTGAAGAGATTGTAAGAGATAGTCTGTAAAACCACAGAAATCCAATAAATTGATGAAGACAGCTCCGATGAGAGACTTACATGTGGAAGGTTGGCTCAAGTCAATGAATCTAACACATGCTGACAGCACATCAGGAAGAATGCCCTTCCCATCCAAGCCATTCAAATATTAACCTGAATAACATTTGCATGGAAACCCATGGTCCAGCCCATCTGCTCTTGACAACAAGAGCTTAATATAGGGTGGGGTAGCCAAGCACTCATGGAACAAAGTGAGATAGATTCTCCCATGGGCTGGGTCAGCAAACACAAGCCTCTTTCATTCATACACACACATTTGAATACATACATACATACACACACACACACACACACACACACACACACGATTACTTTAATAGAAAAATACGAAGAAATACTAAAAAATAAGAGATTTGTAATAACAATTAATAAGCCTAGATAATCTTCCAGGACTACTTTGTTCTTCTACATTAAATGCTGCTTTATAGATTTTATGATCAAAAATCTTTGTGCTTATAAAAATTTATGTTACCCGTATAATTTTTACTATTGGGTCTCTTTGGACAGTTGATGCTGGTCAAATAGATTAACATGGGAACAAAAAAAAAAATGAAACAAGAATCTATTTAGACTTACTCCAAGCTGTACTTATGTACATTTAAATGTTCTGAAAAGAGGAAGAATGTTAAATAGAACTTTTAAAAGATTAGAACCCCTGAGGCTGAGGTTGTGGCTCAGTGGTAGAGTACTTGCCCAGCATGTGTGAGGCACTGGGTTCGATTCTCAGCACCACATACAAATTAATAAATAAATAAAGGTCCATCAACAACTACAAATTTAAAAAAAAAAATAAAAATAAAAATAAATGATTAGAAACCCTGGAACATGAACAAACTAAATTTCCTCATAGTTTTTCTTTCTTTTTTTTTTTACTCTCAATTTCTAAGTAAAAGAACACCACACCCTAAGATCTACAGGACACACCTACCTTGGTGAGGCTCATTTATAATCAGTTATCAATCAATATCTACCTGTCCCAATTTTGCAACTGGCAATGTTATTTATTCTCCAAGGTTATTAATGCAGCACCTACACATAGCTTGAAAGAACAGGACAACGGCCAGAAAGTCTTCAGAGGTTATTTTTAAATTGATCCTGTGGTTTGACTCAATAAATCATCTTCTCCCAGTGATAGGGTATCTTACACAAAAACATGCAATGACATGAAGAAGAACCTTAAAGGAGGGAAGACACTTAATATGTGATCTTTTTTTTTAAAGTTTGAACAGCCACAAGGAAACATAGAGAAATTCATCTCGAGATCCCTGACCTGTTATAAGGCATCCTCTGATTATCAGCAGTTCCATACTGCTGATAATTCTCATTCTAGGTAATACTACCATTACTATTTTGAGTATGTACTATGAAGCAGGATTTCACAAAATGTTTTGGTGGAGGCAGATCAGACAGAAGAATCAGTTTGGATGCCACAGAATTTTTGTAGAACTTAATTCTTAGTGTATTTAGGGAAACATACAAGTAGGTAACCACCTGTTTTGCAAAGGGCCAGAAAGCCTTTGGTCGCTCTTAAGACTTAAGAGCAACCACTAAGAGGAGGTAGACAGGCTAAGGACCTAGAGGGAAATGACCCAGAGTGGGGAGGAATCAAGGAAGTGTATCTAGCTACTGAAAGAAGCAGTAACACTAGACTCAGTAGGAAACTGTGGTACTGGCCACCCTGTCTCCCAGCCCTACTAGACTGTGTCTTGAAATGTAGAGGATAGTTTTCACAACTACCCCAATAGGATCCTACCAACACCACTCCACCCTGGGAGCCCTCTCTGAAAGCACTGGAACAAGAAGGCAGAGTTGCCTCTGCACTGACCAGGGAAAGAAGGTGGGATCACCAGAGGTCCAGATGCAGAGCTCCATGGAGGTCTACAGTGTTGCAGGCAGGGCTCTGGGCAGAGAACAAAAAGGACAGCAGATACCAGGATGATGTGACCAACCTCACTGTCCCACAACTTCTCAAGAGGCTAAACATCCACCTGGAACTCACTAGTGGATGAGGCCTAAAGAACATGAATATATACTGGAATACACCTCTGGTGATTCTTAGAAATGTTTGAATGCTGGGAAGGCACCCAATGAAAAGGAAAGGCTTTCCTATATATCAGCAAGTGGGAAAATAGGTCATTAAAAGGCACTGTCTTCCTGTAAACATGACCTACTTGGTTTGTTTCCAACTGATTAGGCTAAAACTTGGCTGTGAAGATGTATATGTGTTGATGTATATATAGCATGTGTTTATGCATGTATGTGTGTTGTATCCATGTGTACTGAACTACTCAAAAGCAAAGTAATCTCTCTGTTCCACAGGGGACACAGCAATTTTAGACAGGTTAGGCCACTTATCTAAGTTCACATATTAAGTATTGCAGCCCATCTTAAATATGGCCCGCCTGATTCCAAAGCCTATACTATGGGGATAAAATTTTCAAGGCATTACTAAAATAAATTTCAAATAAATATAAAAGTAGACAGTAGAACTAACTTTTATGTGCTTGGGATGTGGCTTCAACAATTATCACCTGGAATGGATGTTGTTTCATCTATTCTTTTACCCTCTAAACCTACCCCTGTGTTTTTAGAAGCAATCCTAGATATCATCACATGTCATCTGAAAGTATTTCAGTATGAATCCTAAAAGATGAAGACAGTAAGTAATTTATGTCCTTCTCTCCTAGGTACACCAACATGCCACCAATAAAATAATTTACTGGGTCAATAAAGAAGATTTATTCTCCTTAAGAACATTCCAAACAGGTCTCCAAATTATTTTCCTATGAGATATTTTTCGAGACATTAATTGATAGAGTCCTTTGCTCAAAGACCCTCTCATAAATACCCATCAATGTTCACTTTTTCTTACATTCCCTGTGAGAAAGACACTAGATTTATTTTATGCCCCTCCATTCATGGAGAAAATGAATTGGGGGGGGGCAGAAAATAGATCTCACGTCCTTAGGAACACCAGTCCAAAGAAAGAAGCTTCTAAGTATCATCTTCAGTTTTCTAAGTAGAACCTAAAGTGGTTACAAAACAAACAAGAATTCAACAAATATTAATGGGCGGCTACTGTGCACCCATCCATGCAGAGTACTAGAAACATTTTGGCTAGTGATCAGGTAAGGGTGCTCTCCACCAGGCTTATCAGCTAACACAGGGTAGGATGTAAAAAATGAATACCCAAAATGCAACCAGGAGACAGGTAGCAAAAAGGGAAGGCGGAGAGTTCCTGGGGTCTCAAAGAAGGAAGTTAAATAGTTAAGAAATGAGGAAGCTGAAGCATCAAAACATGATATTTCCAGAACCACATACAAGCTGATTGGAGGGAAAACCTGATTTCTCAAACTCCAAATCTATTATGATTTTCACCTCAAAAAGAACTGGAAGGCACTGGGTTTGATTCTGACCACCACATATAAATAAAATAAAAGTCCATTGACAGCTAAAAAAATATTAAAAAAAAAAAAGAACTGGAGATACTTGACGGCCAACATTTTATACTACCACAAAAGGATTTATGAAACAGTAGATTTTTGAAATGGGCCTTGATAGTTAAATAAAATTTTGACAAATGGAGAAGTGTACAACGTTCTGAGCAAAGAAAACACCCCAGCCAGGTTTGAGTGATTTACTCTGACAGTAGATACTACCTGCTTTGGCTGATACAAGGACAATAGCAGGACCGTGCCAGGGAAATGAAGGCAGAAAGCTAGGCTGTGACCAGGCCAAAGAAGGATTTGAACACAAGGTCAAGCTGCTTTCATGAGGATGTAGAGACTGGCAAAGATCCATCATTTAAAGCCAAGGTGTTTAAAACAAAAACAACAGCAAACAAACAAACAAACAAAAAACAACCCATCAATTTGTATATGCTGGAATGAGCATGGTTTATGGTATTTTGATGTTTTATATTATTCTAATTCCCTCTAAATTCTATTAAAAACGCTTAGAAACAGAGCTTATTATTTGTTTAGAGATGGGGTGGGGGCCGAAGGAGACAGGTGAAGGTTGGAGAGCATGGTGATGAGGCTGCACAGATCCTGCAGGGGGCAGAAACCTGGAATGGGACTACGGAGAATCAGTGGTTTCAGCCACAAAGTAAAGCCAACAGACTCATTCTTGAGACTGTAGAAAGAACACAGGAAAGCAAGAACTTTCAGGGAATCTATTTATCACTCTGAAGGCATTTGACAGGAGTTTCTTTGGGATCCAGATCGTTCCCAATTCTTAATGGGTGTCAAGACCATACACAGAACAACTTCATCACCTCTCCCAATGAGTGGATTAGGACGTCCTTTTAGATTCATAAGGCAGCACATTTCTTAGCCAAAAAACCAAAACAAACAAATAAGCAAAAAAAAAAAAAAAAAAAAAAAAACCCACTTTCAAGGTTAACTACAGTGGTTATTTATTGTGACTCAAATGTCTAAATTCAGAGGGGTTGTGAAAAGGACAAGTCCTTTTGAAGCTAGACAAACCTGAACTTGAAATCCAGGTTTGCTGCTTATTAGTGATGTTGGGCAAGTTATCTAACTCCCTCAAAGTCGGGTGTCTCCTTTGTAAAAAACAGAGAATACCTGCCACTCAAGGTTGTGAGGAGCATTAATAATATGGCACACAGAAATGCTTTCCTACAAAGTGCTTGGTACACAACTGATGTTTGTTTCTTCTCCCTTCTTAGTGAAATCGGTGCCAGATAAAAGGGAAATTACTAATAACTGAACATCCTGTAAGCTCTTAAACTCATTCCGTTATTAAAGCTTCATAAGAACTACCAAGTAATAGCAAAAAAGATTTGTTTTCTTCTTAGTTGCTCAATAAAGCAGGTACTAATGAACAGGGAAAAAATGTCAGATACATACACTTCAAAGGAGTAAGAATGACTTGCACAACTTAGTGGTAAAAAGAAATACAACCCCATCTTTTAAATAGGCACAGGATCTGAATGGAAGTATCTCCAAAATATACAAATGACCAACAAACACATGCAAACATGTTCAACATCATTAATCACTAGAAAAATACAAACCAAATCCACAATGAGATACCTCTTTGCATTCAGTGATGGCTGTAAACAAAAAGGCAGTATTGGTGAAGTGCGGAGAAATTAGAATCTGCCAGTATCACTTGTGGGAATATAAAATGGTGCCACCACTGTGGAAACCCATCTTTTAGTCCCTCAAAATATTAAACAGTTACCATCTGAGGCAGTAATTCTACTGATAGGAATATACCAAAAGAATTAAAAACCTACATTTACACTAGTAGCCAGTCAAAAAACTCAAATGCCCATAAACTGCTAGATAAACAAAATGTGGTATCCAACACAATATTATTCCATCATAAATGGAAGTACTACTGATAACATACATACTACAATATGGATGAAACTTGAAAACCTTAACAATAATTGAAAGAAGACAGGCACAGGAGGGTGTGTGTGTGTGTGTATAAATATATATGGTTTTATATAAGATATCCAGAATAGGCAAATCTATGGAGAATGTAGATTAATGCCTAGAGCTGGGTGTTTAGAGAAAGGGGAAATTGCAAAAAGGATAAACTACAAAAGGGTCTTGGGGTTCCTCTTGGGGGTGACTCTAATGTTCTAAAATAGATGATGGTGATAGTTGTACAAATATGTAAATACATTTAAAACCAGTTAATTGAACAGCTTAAATTAATGAATTATTTGATGTGTGAATTTTATTTCAATGAAGATATATATATGGATGATGATGATAAATGGCCAGATCCTAAAGCAGAACTGTATGCTCCATTTGACTGAACTCACTGGGCCCACACTCAGGCTGCAGACTAGGAAGGCACTCTGACCACCTCCATAGTCCTTCTCAAGTTGTTTCACATTATCCTTTTTTTGGGTAAAAAAGTAGCATTACTGCCTGACACTGGTTGTGAATATGCTAAGATCATGGCCTTACTCTGTGGTCTTTAATAAAGGGCCAATTCCTCAAAGATTGCCTAGCTTTGATTTCAGTTCTTAGAGAATCAATGTGATCTGACACTACTTACAGTCAATAGTGAGTTTAAGTCCCAAACCAGCCTGCCTCCTAAACACAAATTTCATTGTACTTTGTCAAAATCTCCCTCTGGTTATATAACCCAAAGTTCACACTACACAAGGAGTAGAAAGTCCCCAAATACTGAACTTTAATTTTTTTTTAAATATTTTTTAATTGTCGATGGACATGATATCTTTATTTATTTATTTTCATGTGGTTCTGAGGATCAAACCCAGCCCTCACACATGCAAGGCAGGCACTCTACCCCTGAGCTATGGCCCCAGCTTTAATTTTATCACTTCAGAAGTTGATATTTCTCATTCATCTGAGGTCTGTACTATCAGATTCATACTTGCTGTACTAGGAGCCATGACATTTTTAAAAGAAAGGAAGCAAAGGAAAGAAAAAAGAATACTCAGAAAACAGGACCAGCATGTGACAATACTGAAGATGAAATTATAAACTGCCACAGCACTCACTTCCATACTTAGGTTGTCATTCATCCTGATGCAACCCGAAAGATCTGCTCCTGGGTCTGGACCACCTACAGGACACCTGGCAGTAGAAAGTAGAGCCATTTACTACAAGTAGAAAAACTGAAAATTTTAGCAGATACCAAATTATGACACAGTTCCCACGACCCACACCCAGTCTATCAAATTTCTAATTAAATTCCTGGCTTCATTAAGACATAATGAAAGATAGCTTACACCTTCATCAGAGAGAAGTGACAGACAACAGAAAAGCCAGCCGAAAATGAAAATAAAGAATTTGCAATTCAAAGTCTGGCTTCCTCACCCTCAATACAGAAAGGAAATTTCACCAGGGTAGAGAGTCCTCACAAACTCCACTAACATGTCTGCATTTTTCCTAAGGAAGATCAGTTTGCATACTTAAAAAGATAGATGAGCATAAATAAGCATCAAAAGAGAATGGGGGGAGGGGCGAGCAGAGACAGGTTTCCAAAGGCTTGTTAACCTTAAGTGTGAAAGGAATAGAATTAAAATCCAAACTCATCTAAATTAACCTAGTAATATGTACTTAGTATATGCCCCCCAAACTAGGGTAACTGAATTGGTTTAGATTGACTATCATAAAATTCAAAAGCAGTGTCTTTATTTTACAACTGTAAATTTTTAGAAAGAGAGTTCCACAATAAAGATGTTATAGTCTCAGGGTATGAAAATCTAACCAATTAAATTGTTAGGCAGTGGGAATAGGCTACCCATAAAGAGTAGGCTAAGTGAAGCAGCAAGTCCTTCCTGAGATGTTTCTTTTTCCTTTTTATCTGTTAGTAGCTGCAACCTGCTAATTTCTGCTTCTGCAGTCATGCTTGCTCAGCAGCTGTGGCAGGAATCAAATCTGCCTGGAGAGAGAAAAAGGGATCCAGGCTACTTGTATGAGAAGTCTTGAAACCTGGAGGTCTGTGTTGTATAAAAGATACTGAGAACAAAGGGCTGTGCTCAGCCTTTGGAGAAGACTCTGCTGAGCCCACATCAGTGCTGAATAAACCTTGCTCTTCTGAAAGAGCTGCCTGTCTCTTTCCATTGCCATAATTTTCCTTATTTTTCCATAACAAAGTAAACTGTCCTCTTTTAACTTACTTGTGTTGTCTCGTCACATCCAAAGCACCATCCTTTATTTCTCCATATTTGGATCTTTCACTTGAAGCCTCAGTTGGGTTGGCTACACATAAGGAAGATGTCAATTGTGGCCTTGGAATCACTGTAAGACTATCCAGAGACAAGGCATCTGTAGTAGAACAGAAAGGAATAAAAATAGAGATTAACTTCTGGTTCATACCACATTAAAGAATAAACTATCCTCTCTAAAGACTTGATTGGCAGAACTATTTATGTGAAAGCAAAAGCCAACCCAATTCTATTAGCACTTTACCAAATGCCCAGGATGCTGGGTTACATGGGGGTGGAAATGCCAAATGTTTATTTAAAAAAGAGAGAAAAAAAAAAAGGTGAGGCGTGGAAGACAGATAATCTTGGTCTCTGAACATCTAGAGGGCCAATATTCTTCAGCCAGCAGGCAAAATCCAGCCAGCTGCCTGTTTATATATATATATATATATATATATATATACATATATACATATACATTTTTTTATATTTATATATTTTAGTTGTTAATGGACCTTTATTTTATTTATTTATATGTGGTGCTGAGAAATGAACCCAGTGCCTCCACATGCTAGGCAGGTATTCTACCACTGAGCCACCACCCTAGCCCCAGCTGCCTGTTTTTGTAAATAAAGTTTTACTAGAACATAGCCACACCTATCCACATACATATCCATGACTGCTTGTGTGCTACAGGAGTAAAGTTGAATAGTTGTAACAGAAATTGTTCGGCCTGAAAGCCCTAAAATATTTACTATCTGACCCTTTCCTGAACAACTTTGCAGACTCCTGAAAAATATCAGACATTGTGATTAGATTTCATCAAAACATGGTACAAGAAATAGGTAAGAATGACACATCAGTCTTTTTGGGAAACCATCTTTTTAGGTGGGTATAGGATGTAGCAGTTTAAAGGAAAACACAAAGGCTATGGAGTCAAGCACAATTTTTTAGTTCTGATCCTGGATCTGCTAAATGCCAGTTGTGTCACCTTGGGTAAATATCTATGTCACTCTGAGGCTTAGTTTATGTATCTATAGAATAATACTTGGCCTTGGGTATCTGTTTCCTGGTCTTTAAAATTGGGAATTACAGAGGGGTGGGTACAGTAGTAGAGTGCTGGCCTAGTATACACCAGGACCTGGATTCCTCCCCAGCACAGCAAAAATAAATAAAACAAAATGGGAATCACATTAGCATCTGCACTCTTAGGCTGTGGTAAGGACTAAATGAGTTAACAGATATGTTACCCACAGCTAGTATTCTTTAAGTGCTGACATTGTTGGGTGTGGTTATCTCTGAGTTATCATGAATGAAATAATCTCTATAAAATTCTAATCTAGTGCCTGACACAAAATGAAAATTCCATCCGTGGTGGTAGCAGTTTCTCCTTTTGTAGTTCAATGATCCACAAACCACCATCTTTCTTAAATTTATTTGATGAGCATCCCATTTTTATTATCATTCCAGAACCAGCATGAACTTCTGCTTTTGACTGCATCTGGGTTTTGTGGAGCATCTCCGAGGTTAGGGCTCTTTCTCCTCAGCCTGGCATTCAGTAACAGTTCACAATTGGATCCTCAACTTGCTTTTGCTTCAAACTTCCTTCTGCATCTCAACCAAAACCCTCTTTTTTCCACAATGAGCTTTGCCTCTTTTTCAAACACAAGACTTTTGTGTTCTTCTCTTTTTATTCTGTTTCATCTGTCCATGTCATTCTCATCCATCAAAATACTTTTTGCACACTTTTCACTTTTCCATCCCAACCCATCCCTCAAAGCCTGGTTCAACATTCCCCTCTTTTGTGGGGTACTCTCTTACTTCTCATCTCTGAGTCTAGGTCTTGTCTCCCACTAATCTGTAGGCTATTTGAGGACTGGGAATGGAACTCAGGGGCACTTAACTACTGAGCCATATCCCCATTCCCTTTTTGTATTTTATTAGAGACAGGGTCTCATGGAGTTGCTTAGGCCTTGCTAAGTTGCTGAATTTGAATTTGAATTTGTGATCCTCCTGCCTCAGCCTCCCAAGCTACTGGGTTTATAGGCATGAGACACCAAACCCAGCACTTATTCTTTATTATACATAATATGTTGCCTTGCACAGAATAGGTACTGAAATATATACTGATTGACTGACTGAACCCAGAAATAAATACCCAAATGTTCAACAATTATTCCTATACAAATAAAATTGTAATGAATTATTTGCCCTTTCAAAAAGAATTCCTCTCTCAATACAATCCCTCCCCCGACCCAAGCATGTATCAGATGGTGCTGGAGGAGGGGCGACCCAAGCTCACCCAGAAGAGGCGTATACCAGCATGTGTTTTTCAAGGTCAGGGGTATGTGATGAATTCTTGCCTCTTGACTACTGTGTGGTTTGTGGTAACACTGCTTCTGAATGGAAAACCAAGTATTATTAGCTGTCTAACGGAATATAACATAAAACATTTTCTAATATACTTTATCTTTCAAAACAGAAAGAATATCACTGGTCTCAAATGGACCTGTGAGAGAAGTCAGAAAGAAAATAAATGATGTCAAGTAAAAAAGCTTTCATGCTTTTTGATCAAAAGATATACATTATGAGTAAATTAGAACACTCATTCAAAAATCACTGTTCAGTAATCTAACATAATACTCGCATCACCAACTCCAAATAAATAGTTTACACTTTGATATAAATAAAGCCTTGAGGGAAGAGTTAAGCATGAGGGACAAGTCAAGTGATATAACTCAATCAATTGTGATATTGTAATACCACAATTAAAAAATTTAAAATATTAGTACTTCTTGGAACAACCAAAAGATAGTATGTGTATGAGAGGAAAAAAAAAAGAATCTTTTAAAGAAAAGTATTGTGTTTGGAATCCTTGGGCTATGAATATATACTGAACTCAACTTTTTATTTTACCATAGCAGCGGATCCATGCTTGCTACCAAAATAATTTCAGAAAGCTTACACTTACCAATTTTTCTTGAAGAGATGGTTGAATTTTCTCTGGGCAGGACGGGGGATCATCGTGAGAAAATTCCTCATCTAAAAACCTCTGTAATCAGAAAATGGCAAAGTGTATTGAAAGATGAAATGTAGAAAGGGTCCAAGATGCAAAGCCCAGCAGAGGTGGGTGCCCTCTACTTCAGGGAACCTATTTGTCACTGCAAATGGGTATTTTACCCATTCATTGATCTAGGAGTAAAACTCAAAGATCAGGAACCAGGAATTGAATGGCTTTGTCATTGAAATTAGGCAGAAGCCAAGGAAGCTTGTTAGACATAACTTGGAGTAGTAAAATGGTGTTAGGAAAATTTTATAGTAATAAAATTGTGGTCTTAATCCAAGAGGCAGATGCATATTTATGGGAGTGACATTACAATAGAAAATTTTATTGGTGTTCTTGAGATGATTAAGAATTCTTTAGCTATGGAGATTTTTTTTTTTTCCTGCTAAACAGGGGCTTTTCAGGCACTCTGCCTAGACTTTCTATGTGAATTTTTTTTTTCTGCTTAAACAGATGTTGTCTACATTATGCCCTGGAAAGAGATACCAGCAAATATCACTCTTCTTCCCTCTTTCATCTCCTTGCTCCAGTGCCAATCTCTCTGTTCCCTTATGTTCTTCATTTATGAACCAAAAAGGAGATTCACCAAGCATCATAAGGGAAATAAATATATTCAACTCTACCATGGATTTCTTGAGATATCCAGACAGAAAGGTATTGAAAGTTTAATACAAATAGGAGAAAGAAAAAAGACATAAGCACTAAAACTGTTCGTGGCACTCAAAAATTTTAGCATATGGTTTTAAATTGAAAAATATACCCTTCCTATCAGATAGGAGGTGCCTACAAAACTGGCTCTCAGCTAACAGATGCAGTGGCTGGGCAAATTCTGAAATGCTTCCTCTTTGGGAGAT